TTGGAGAACCTGAAGCAATGCACAGCGCTACATTTTTGTAGCATGGGGAAGGTTTTTCAAGTTTAAGTTGCACATTCCATCAATATAAGTGATGGGAGTAAACCAATAAATCAAGAATATTGGCTTATTGCAGACACATCACTATCGATCTATGTGTGTGCAAATAAGTAACAGGAAACTGCAGACCAGTAAGGCCAAAATGGTGTCACCCAATCAGTTTTGGTTTAGATGTACTACATATTTATTAGATATCAATACAATATTAAATACATGATTTTGGGACAGGAGTTTGCATACTGTCTTCATTTGACTTTCTGCTTTCAGACATCAGTGATTATTGATATGTAAGGGCTGCTGGAAGCTGAAAAAAGCCTTACATGCATCTCTGGAGCACAGCGTCCCAGCAAGTCAATAAGAGCAGAGTAGAAGGTCATGATGGCGTGTCCCATGTGAATGAGGTCATCATCACTGTCCTGGACAACATCTCTGTTACAGAAAACAGTCATTACAGTCAGCCCTGTCATGATCTATATATCCTATATAACCGTCAAGGACTTTGAATAGCATGAAGTGATTGACTATCTCTCAACAGAGCAGCTGACCTGTGCTGCGTGGTCACGAGATAGCTTTTCATGCATAGGCATTTGTGAGTATATTATTCAACCAACTGAAAAAACTGATGTTCCAGCAATCATAAATTGTGTGCACATGTGTGATACTGACAGTGTTCTGTTGGACTGGTAAGTGGTGCAAGGTCCATCCATAGAGGGGTCTTCAGAGATCCTGATGGCTTCCTCCATGGCAGCTAGGAGACCATTTCCTCCATCGCCTTGCAGCGCTGGACCAAAACACTCAGGCCGGCGAATCAACAGTCTCAACACCACATAAGCATTCTCCTCTACACTCTCACCTGTGGTTAGAGAACACGAACAAGGTGAAGACAAAATACTGCTGGACTGTGTGACAGACCAGGGTCACCGGTCATGTTCTTTTCAGTGTTGATACCAAATATTAGTAACCAGGACGACTGTCAACTGATATTTGGAAGCGATATATTGTACATTTGCCCGAAAAATGACAATTTTTGTGTCCAAAAAAATGAATAACACAAACCCCAATAGAAACCATCACTGAAATGTATTGTATAAATCTATAGAGAGACACCAGATAGAAAAAGGGAGCTGTACCAGAGCCAGAGAAGCGCAATTTATTTGATCACTTTTTTTTCTTTCTTTTTTTTGTTTTAAATAGCATTACCAATAAAATGCTGAATGCTGAATACCAGATCCAAAACAGCCTGGCCAATAATCTGTCAACCCCACATGGGAGACTAATGGACATTTTAAAGCAGCTGCATTTTTTATTTTTTATTCTGTTTCTCCCAAATCTACCAATAGAAGAAATCTGACCAACATTCTGCTGAATTTATGAAATATGAAACTAAGAAATTGAGAGCAGCAGCAAATCAAAACACAACATTTGTATTAATATCGGCACAACTTTGTGCACAAGTTTGTTTAGAGAACAAACAACTGAGGGGCATGTGGTATGAACAGCCAATGTTCATGCCATTGGATGAACTGTCAACACCTTCAAGGGCAATTTGAACGGATGACTTTTGGGCACTGCTTCAGTGTAGGAAAAATCAATAGCAGAATGAATTACCTATATTGCAAATAGCTTACTTAATTGGACGCACAAAATGATGCTGCCTCTTGTGCCTTTGTACTTTGCTCCGAGCACTGGAGAAAATATTCTAGAAGCCCTTCAAGCAATAAATGCCCTGAATAATTAACAAGTAAAAAGCATAACCGGATACATAAAGAAATAAACAACGCATTTAGTTTAAACAATTAAAAGTGATAGTTAAACACTATAGGCTGCACTTCTTAAGTACACCTCACCCACCTAAAATAAATGGCTAAATAAAAGAAGCCAACTAAGCCAATAAACAAATAAAAAATAAAACATCATTTAATATTCTGTGATTTACAGCATATGTTAAGTATAAATGATTTAAATTTACCATGGCAAAAGACAGCAAAACGCAGAAAGTCCAGGTAACGTTCGCCCTCCACAGGATTCCATCCAATGTCAGAATAGCCTTTTGCCACCAGCATAGAACAGCTCTGGAGACCACAGCCAGCAAGGCACTGCACCACCTAGACAGTGCAATACATTAGAAGATCAGAAACTATCATACTACACTTTTTTTTCTTTGCGATTAATGTTTGTTGTCTTTACATTCCTTTTTTAGAAACTGAACGGGTAAATATGCTTTCCGTTTTTCTTCTCCTTTAGCTATGAACAGGTTGTCACCTGCTCTCTGTTTGATATTTGTGAACTTTACAGTATTGTCAACACAAACACAGATGCTTCAAATATGCACTGACTGCTTTGTCCAAGATTTTACATCAGTTACAGATTCTCACCTTCTCTAGGTCGGGTTCCCTCAGTGCTAAGGCCAGTTCGTTATTATCCATAACAGAGGCTGCTGCCACATCTAGAGGAGTGGCCCCACGCATGGACGGTGACGCTACGGAACAAAGGCACAAAACAATCTAGACACCCACTTAAACTATACATATTGTCAGGTTTTTGGATATTTTCTTAATCATAGGGAAAGGATAACACCTTCACAAGATTATTTTACACCTAAAATTTGACTTGTTCACATTAAAAGTGAGTGAGTTTTCTTTCACTATGTTTATGGGTGAAATATTAACATTTAAGAAAATAGTAAAAAGACACAATAAAAACATACATCTGCGTAATTTAACGTAACAGTGACGCAATCCATTTCTACTTAGTGAACTACCTTTGGAAACTTTCAGTGTTTTAAATGTAATGCCATCCCTGAGAAACCACCAGAAACTATGGCCTTCAAAACTGCCAGGAAGTTGAATCAACACCTCCCAAAAACCGACTTATAAGTTTCCCAAGTGCATCCTGCAGGAGTTTCTGTCAGCACTCCCACCTAGACACAACCAGGAGAAGTGACAGAACTTACCGAGCCCAACACTGCTGTTTTCCAATAAGTAGCTGAGATGGTCAAACAGGGCTCCCTGATTGTGACGACTGATGCGGCAGAAGTAACACAGGAAACGACAGCAGCTGGCCACCATCTTGGGAAAAGTAATTTCCTAATAGATGCAAATTTATTGATGGATACAAAAGAGAAAAATGTGAGGAGGTACATGGATATGTAATGATTCACAATCAGTCTGAACACCTTATGTAAGCTTTGCCGGCGGATTAAAAGACCTGAACAACATTTTATGACAGATTGTCTCAATACATTTCAGATCATTTCTTACCTTTGATTGTCCTTCTCCTAGAACGTTGACCATCACCTCCATCACAGTCTCATGCATTCCCAGTGCCCTCATTAGGTTGGGGTGTTGGTAGAAAACTTTATTATTCATGATGTCTCTTTACATGTCACAGAAAGACACAGAAGAATAATTTCCACAACAAGAAGTATACTATGATGCATATGTGTAAGAAATTGATCAATACAATAAGTCACACAAGATCACAGTGGCCAAGAGGTGTCAAAATAAGCCACTACACATCTTGTCCTACCCAAGTCTTCTGATCATCAGCCTCTCTTCCTCTTTCCCCATCCGGACACTGAGCAGTGAGCGGATTTGGCCCAGGGAGGACAACAGTGCCATGGTGTCCTCCACTGAAGACTGGCTGATTGTGTAGGCTTTGCAGAGGGCTCCCCCCATTTGGCCCCCGAGGCCCTGATACTGGCGGTGCAGTAATGAGAAGATAGCCCTCACTAGTTCTGGGTCATCCATCTCACTCTCTTGAGCCCAGCGCACCATCGTTTCAGAGATCAGCTTCTTCAGGGACTCTAAAGAACCAGACAGTGAGATGTGGTGATAAAAGTGGAGCAGTGGAACCCTATAACCCTCTTTTTTTTTTCCAATGACTTGAGATGTGCAGTATCACATGTTGTTGCTGTTATTTTCTAAGTAGTTATTCAACAAAAAAGGTTGGGGGGTCTGTTACAGTAGATATGTCACTACACTGGCATACATGGCATCTTTATAATTTTCATTCACATAATTACTTTCATCAATATCTTTAATTACAAAACAGCTGTATATGTTATTGACCCTGAACCTAAATGATGAGTTGCATCATTCCAGATGCAGGCAAAAGTGAGACCAAGAAACTTGCACTTACTCTGACTGTTTGATGTGCAATCGTCCTTTTCTGTGGGTGTCTTATTAAGTCCAGTAACTCTCGCCACTAGATTGAGAAGTCGATCTTTTACAGACGTCTCAGCATCCTCTTCTTCCTCTGAGCCACTGTCCAATTCGAAGCCTGCACAATGATAGCAAAGTAAGATGAGATTTTCTCAGTGGCAATTATGGTAAGTACCTCCTCAGAGTTTTTTTCTTAGCTCCCTGACTCATTGAAAATTAATATTGAATCAGTCAAGAAAAGCCCTGCTCCAACCGCAGTGTGTGTTGAGGAGGTGATGGAAATCCAGCAGCAGCTCTTGGATTTCCACTGGACACGGACAGCTGTCTTGCTGCTCATCCTCTCTGAAGCTCAGCAACAGATTGATCTGTGGACAGGTCATAGATTATGAAAACTGTATACCTGATATGGCAACACATCGTGAGCCATGATGTTTCACCATCTTTCTGTGTTATACACTTTATCTTAGCTCCAGGAACATTGCACAAAACCATAACTCAGTAATTCTACCCCTGCTTTTCCCTTTAGCTAACAGTGATAATGTCATTTACGCCCACTCAACCTGTTCCTGCGGAGGTAAGCGGAACTCCTTCGTTATGCGAGCAGTAAGGGCGGCGGACATGTTGAGTGCCTGCATGACTTGGTTATAGCGGAATTGTTGGTTCTCCTGCAGCTGACCCACAAAGTTATCAGAGAAGGCAATCACAGCTTCCACCCGGTGCCGCAACTGGCAATCACAAAGGTAGGATAGCAGGTGGCAGAGCTGGAGGAAAACAAAAAAAAACACAAGAGTAAAATATTCCTTTATGAGTAGTTTTAAACCACTTATAGGGATCTAAGCACAGCACCTGAAGCAAAGCAAAATGACATTAATGGTAAGAGGGAAAAAAAAAAAAAGAGAAACACCTCAAGTTTGACAGCTTCTGGAAGCTTCATTTTAAGAAGTCCTTGTTTAACATCTTCTTTCTTGTTGCCCTCTTTGCAATCATTTTCATCATCACTAGATTCTTCTTCTTCCTCCTCCTCCTCCTCCTCCTCCTCCTCTTCCTCCTCTTTGGCAGTTTCAGTATTTGTGTAGAAAACACCTGGCTCCATCAGTCTAAGAACCTTCCCCAGGTCCTCATCCCCAAATAACCCCATGACCAATAGGCTATAGAACAGTCTTAACAGAGGAACAAGCAGAAGCTCAATATTGCCTCCTGCAGGATCCCTCACAGCCTGACCCACAGCCCAAACTCCAGCAGTCAGCATCTCCACAGTCAGATTCTTCAATATGTCCAGAGGGATTTCTGGGCTGTCTGTGCAGGCTATTTCAACCGTGCTATCTCCGTCCATCCCATCGATTCTGACAAAACAAGGAGATGAAAAATGCATCTGTGGTTTAAGGCCTGTGCTACGCCTAGCGCTGGGAATTCCTTCTGGAGGCTGATTATTCCCTTCATTAACAGCATTAGCAGGGTTGGGATAGAGGGTGATTTCCCTGGTTTGGTCAGTCATAGGAACAACGTATTCATGGTTCATCATGAGACATGCTGTGCTGTGGCAGCTGAGGTAAACCTGGGGAACAAAAGCAATAATTGTTAATTCAGTTATTCTCCAAAGACCACAACATCATTTTATTTTTTTCTAACTTTAACGAGAATAAGCACCTGACTAAGCAGTTGATAAAAAGCAGAGCGGAGTGGGCCAGGGAGGTGGGGATTCTGAATAGCATAAAAGACTTGCGACTGGTCCACGTGACTGCAGAGGGCGTGGCAAACTCGGGTGTTTCCGAGGGCACATAAAGAGCAGTAGAGGAGGAGGGTATGGTGGTGAAATGTTAAAAGGTCGTCGAGTTCTGACAGCTCCAAAATGTCAACACACCTAAAAGAATGTTATTGGGAAGAAAAGACAATTTCAGTGTGGGTGCTTGCTTTAAATCTTATTAAAACTGCTGCTGAAAGCTTGAAAAGAAGTCGAAACTACACGTGTTGCATTATTTGAAGACTGCATTTTACAGATCACAGTCGAGCACGAAACATGTGAGATGATGTATGTAAGCCCGTCTCCAAAAACATTATTTCATCCTGAGTCTAACCTGTTTTCATCAGGCATCTGAAGAGACATGACTTGCAGGGGCTCACAGCACTGAACCCTCCAGCCATGCTGCTCATCTGGATGATCCACTAACACCTTTAATGGACAGTCTGGTACTCTGGTCCATGAAACAGGGCTGAGATGCTGGACCTGAAACCTTGGTGGGCACTGAGGAGTGGCGTTCCTTCTTTGGCTGCGTAGCAAACCTGATGACAGTGGCATCACATTCTGGATTGAGAAGAAAACAAACAGAGAAGAGGGTCATAGACCATTAAACTTTTATAGGCAATAAAACAGGCTGAAAGACAGATTGGAAAAAAAAGTACCCAACAAAGCCGAATCATCCCAACATTGAACTGGAAGCTGTTGATTAACTCACGCATCATAAATACTCTCTAATCTAATCTGCCTGTTAATCTAATAGGTTAAGTTTTTTTCTAGAAATCCTGATGACATGCAAACAAGGGTGAACAAATGTCTTAGGTTAATAATTAAAAGATTCATTACCTTGATGCGTCCCAGTTCAAACTGAAACATGTTGCTGGTGGTGGGTTTGACAAAAACAGCAGGAAACAGCTTTGTATTGGCCTCCACCTGGTTTGTAGTAAAACAGTGTTATCACCGGATTGAAAATGTAGTTACTGGCCATAATAACTTAAATAGGTTTCCCAATTGTAACATACATAGTTCTGTAATGAGTTTAATGTATTAAATTTAAAGGTATTACATGCAGCAAACAGTCTGAATACTGAAGAGGGACTAGTCAGAGAAAAATACTTTAAATCAGATCAGCCTGGTGTGTGACCTACTTGGTAGAAAGTGGCCATCTCCACTCCACTGGAAGTGAAGGTGAGCAGCCCAGTGGTTGAGTCAATTAAACAGCCAATTTCCAACCCTGCACTTCTCCGACTCTGAGACAGGCCTGTTGCCTCTCCGGCACACACCATGTAACAGTTACACCGCTTCACACTTTGCCGGAAGATAAGAATACGTTCAATTATCAGTTTCATGCTAATTTGCAGCACACCAGAATAAAAAATACTCTTCAGTAGTACAGTAAATAAATCTCATCATACAGTCTAGTGAATATGGTGTAAGAAAGATAATCATGACAACATCTCAGACTGCAATTAATATTAGAACCGTGTCTCCCATGCTAACAACATAATTGTCACTGTGCACACTAACCTTTCCTGGACTTTGCCACTGTCGTCTCCGAGGGTGACAGTCACAGTGTGGACGCTGTCAGGGTCGAATGCTGTGTCATGTTGATGAAAGTCAGCAGTCACCCAGCCGACCCACACATTGAGCGGCTCCTGGCCTGGAAGAACCCTCACTGAGTAGTAATACTGAAACAGAGAAGTCAGTTGGTATTCACTGTTTAGGATTTGCAACTCGCATTCTAGGTTTATAGTGTCACCGGCAAATAACTGAAGCTCACTGCATGTCCATGAGCCTTACATTCCAGTTTGTTTAATTTGTATACGCTCTGAGGTTGCAGAATGTCCAAATACATTAGTCTTGTCTTTCATTATTTGTGTATGTAAATAAGGAAATTACACAGCATAAAATATTTGTTTTTCTCATCAGCACAGACGATTATGATGACATGAACTAAAAGGAGAATTAAAGTCTTACTCTGGAGCTTTGAATCAGGTGATCATAGTTGTCTTTGTCAACTACAACATCTTCAAGAAGTCTTGCGGATGAGTTGCTGCTGAGTAATCCAGGTTTAGTCCTCTTCAGCATGAACCTTACAGAACAGATCACACAATAATAATTCCTGCAAATTATTTTGCCGATGAGTAGTGACTGTGATAATGCAGTTAGTTCTCTCTTTTTGCTTTATTTCTTACAGCTTTCATGTCCTTTATTCTATGTTTTTGGAAACGTAATTCAAAAACCATGCTTTTGTTATTCTAAATCAAAGCAGACAAATACATAATAGTTCTGACTAACTGGTACATTATTATTCTACATCAAGTAAAATGAGTGAACTAAATGTTCATGTCTGTGTGGGCAGTTTTCTATATTTCAAATGTTATACAACTTAAAGCACATGCTCTTAATCTTAGTGTCTCTATAACCTACCGTTGTTTCAATCTTGATGTTTTGTCTTGGCTGTGATCCTTATGGTTGAGCTCATCTCTTGAGCCAGCAAAGCTGTGGGCCGACTTCATCAGCACTTCAAAGTCAGAGTCAACCTCCTCTTGCTCTTTCTTTCCTAAAAGGACAACAGGCATTAATTACAGAAGGGCCCCGGGGAGCTTAAGCAGAGCAATTCATCAAGGTCATAATGGTAGAGTACCAGTAATCTAGACAGTAATCTAGACGCACACTAATTATTCCACTCAGTGGTTCAATCATTTTTACATGCTGCATCAGGTGTTATGCCAATTGTGGTTTGAGCCTGTGGCGAGCTAAACCAGTCCTTATTGTTGTCATTTGCAAAGTTTTCTTAAGTCTTCTCTGTGCTTAACTTGAACATACTGTATATAATATCATTGAACCTGGAGAGAGCGAGTTGGAGGCCATGGGAAGCACACCCCCTGCAGGGCTTCTGAGAATGGCAGCACATTTGATGGACATGCTGAGTCGGTAAAAGCCCATCTCACTCCCCGCCCCGTGGTGGGCTACCAACCGCTGAGAGACCCTCAGGCTGGATGAGGAATCCTTGGAGCCACTGACTCGGGTGACCTTGAATAATATTTGAACAAGATTTTCAGGATCGGAGTCACGAATTAACCATTGCTGCCATAAGCAAGTCTCTGGGCTGATAAAGGCCTGCATATAAATAATAGAATAAAACATTGTGTACTACATGGTTAAAAATGCACATTAACCAAGTACTGGGGAAAAGAAATCTAACAGATCAGGAAACTAACCTGCAAGTTGTGATCATCAGGCAGAATGGAGGTAAACTGAGGTTGTTGCCAGCTCATCCACAGGGCGGGGTCTCTGGCCATGTTGACAGCAAAAGGCTTATAGCCCTCCTGCAGGCCACACACAGTGAAGTAGCGCAGAGAGCCCACTCGGCGGCCCAGGTTTAGCCGCCCCACCTGGTTGACCCCAACACTGATCACAGGCAACAGACCTGGAAAATGTATAGAGACAAGATGAAAAAAGGTGACATAATATATTTAAGTCTTTGATATAGGTTGGACTTCTTCTTCCAATAAAGGAAAAAAAAACATTTTGATTTATTATATGACGCTGTAAGTCAAAAACTCATCCAGACCATCTCTGATATCAAAGTCCTTGGCAGCCAGCTCTGATCCTCTGTCATTAAACAGCACCTCTCCATTGAGCGTGACCATCATGGTGCATTCAGTCATGTCCACCAAACAACCCACCACATCGCCTCTGAGCCACGGACGTCCCAGAGGTTCACCTCCCCGATGGTGCCACTGAGCCTGAGAGCAACAATGAGTAAGAAAGGAGACAATTGTAAAAAGCCTGGCATCAGAACAGGTAAACAACAGAGGAACTGATGGTATTTAGAGTATGGATTATGTAACATTTTTGTTTACGCTGCCATCTAATAACTCAGGTCTTCCTCCAATTGCTTATGTCAAGAGCAAAGACCTTGTTTTTCTTTCACACGTCAATTTCAAGACTTTGGAATATCCTTCTTATCCCATAAAACATCCTATTTCAGACTAGTGTAAGGCAGTTTCATTGCAATATCTGTTACTTAAATTATTTACCTATAAAAAATGACTTCAAATATATATATATATATTTTTAAATCATGCTCTGAGCCAGAAATCCCCACTTGAGTGGCACATACATACACCAAACTTTTCAAAATCTATTCTGAGCTTTCACAGAAGGCTTTTTTTCCATTTGTCATTCATAGCATGATTTATAGAACATCTTCTATCTTAAAACATGGTGAAAAGAAACTTTTTGTGGCTGTTGACAGCGTTTTGTGATTTATAGCTGGCAATAAAAGAGATATCTAAAATTCCCTCTGCAAAAACCTTTGGCAAAATAAAACAAGAATATTGAACCTGGCTATATGCAACACTCAGATTTCTAAACTCATGATAAGAAATATAATAACCATAACCACGACTGTCTGTGTTGTTTAATCACCAAGTGGAACTCACATGTCCTGATGTGCAACTAACGTAAAGCAACGTGTTCATATTAGCTGTTTATTTTGGAATTTCTAGTGTTTAGTTTCACCTGCTTCCATTAGATGGTTATTTCATAAACAAGCTCAAGGCCACAGCTTCGTTTCTGTCTGCACTCGAAAACATTCGTATACTGTGTGAGTAAATTAAAAATAAAAAAAGAAGAAGAGAAAGAATTCTAAGTTGTGATAACACCACCTTTAACATTACCCTTAAGTTTTATTATAACAAATACAAAAAACAGCATTAGGGCTTTAACAAACTGTGATTTGGGGAAGGAATGCTGCTTTAACAACAACCATGTTCAGTGGCCATATAATGAACTGTCAAATTTGAATATCTCACCTCGCATCCGTCGAAGACATACGCCTGGTCATCTGAGCCGAGCTCTTTATCTGGGGTACAGGCCGGTCGGGCCCAGCCCACTCTCATATTCCCTGCTGTCAGTATTTCAAATTCAAAATACCACTTCCCCCGAGTCACAGCATATGATTTATCTGGCCTGAACACTCTGCACTTCTCCGCAGAGAACAGACAGGGTTTTGATATCGTGGCTGTAAAAACAAGAAACAGAGAAAACAAGGGTGTCTGCTAAAATAAAAACGGTCTCATTAAATACAGTGTATCTTTGCAATTCAGTGTTGCAAGTGCTATACTAACAGGGCTTTGAGACATACTTCGTTCTTGGTTGAGGGGCTCCAGGCTGTAACCATATGCCAGCAAGGTACAGACAGCCTCTCTGACACTCTCTCTGCCCATTCTCCGAGTCCTTTCATCAAGAAGGCTGTAGGGCACGAGGTATGGGCTCCGCTTCGCTTTCACATCCTAGAAGTACAGATGCAAAGAGCAAAATGGGAAACTATATTTGTCAGAAAACAGCATCAGTGTTTGCCTGGACAGAACACATCGCTATTCTGTGCAATTCTGTTGATGTTGCTGAAAGACTATCTGATAGTTTTTCACATTCTATATAGACGTACAACTTTGAGTGAAGCAACAATCAATAATATGGCTGAAAACACATTCAACATTCAGATGCAATTCCTCCTCTGATGAATGCAGTAATGTAGGAGAACATCAACCTGTTGGGCTCCATAGGTCCATCCCTGTTTGATACGCTCTCTTGCCCACGTATTGTGTTCATTCTCTGCCAGCAGGTTAACCACTTCCTCAACGGTTGAGGTCAGAAAAACCTGGCTCAAATCTATTGGAGCGGGCCTATAGCCACTGAGCTGTTCATACCTAAGATGGAGAAGGAAAAACAGGGCATTAGTGGGTCAAGATGTGAACAAAAGTCAAATAATTACTGGAAAGGTCAAAATGTACGTTTGCTTTTACAGTATTCCTGAAAAAGGCAGCTGTTTGGCCACGTTTATACATATTTACAAAAACCGATCTATGTTTTCAAAAAACCTTTGTCTACACAAACCCGCATAAACACGTTGTTAAGGGCAGTGTAACCAGAAGCATAAAGCCATGCTAGCCAATCAGAAACCTGGAGAAAACACAACAACGAATGGCACAAATTACTTCCTGTTACTCCAACGATAACGGCAGGAGGGTCGTGAGCCGTCCTTCTCCTCTGCTCCTCCACATAATAGAACATTTCTGAATGTGAATGCAAACAGGCCAAAAGCGTTTGCGCAAACGTAAAAACAAGCACTGCTTTAACAGCATCCATTTCTGTCACAGTAGCCAAACTCCGTCTCCTCCTGTCTACATGCAAATGTAAAGACGGAGTTTTCCAAAATCTCCACTTTGGCCGTAGTTTTCAGATATGATGGTTTTCAGTGCCTTGTAGTTTCGTTTCCGTGTAAGCCAAAGGCCCAAAAGTATTGAAAAATCACCATTTTTGCTATGTGTAAACAAGACCTTAAGCAGCCTTTTGCAAACTTCTGATGTAACACTGGATATGTGGAAACTGACAAGTGAATTCCCCATGTATAAAGACACTAAATATGTACGTGACCTTTACTTACTTAGTGGGAAGTCTCTTGTATTTGACATGTTCCTCTGCATGGTCATCCGTCAAACCGATGTGAAACCCAAGCGCAAGTAGAGTCCTCCAGTGGAAAAACACAGAAACATTCACTCACACAGCGAATATGAAATCTGAATAGCAGAAGGTCTACTGACATGCATTTATGTATCACACTCTTTCAATATTAAAACTGTTGAATAAATGAATCTAAATAATCAGGTGAAGTAATTTATTCAGCTTACCTGAGGGTGTCCTGAGCCATCTGAAGGTTCTGGTTTCTCTCCAGCTCCGGCAGCTTGGAGAACTCCACCACACACGGATCATGCTTCTTACCTTCATCTCTCACCTGTTTGACAAAAAAAAAACACTTTTTTTTTCTTGACAAAAACTCACTGCAAGCACAACTAAAGTAGATGACACAATACTTATTTTGGTTATTTGTTTTAATTAAACTACTGATACTGTATTATTTTGCTTACAGGTGCATACGTCCATCCAAGATCAATCTTGTCCATTACCCAGAGTTCATGAATATTCTCAGCCATTTTTTCTCTGATGTCCTCGAGTTGTGGGGGCAACACTACCTATGAGGATAACGTGAGCAACAGACAAGTAACTAATCTATATTGATTTGGTTTGTCTGTACAAAGGGTCAGGTTCAAAACGTATGTAAATGAATAGCATAAAATTTCAAATCTTTTTGATCAAACTATTTATTACCTTACTGATGTCCACTGGTGTGGGAGTAAAGGTAACAGGAGTGTTGGGTACAAAGGGGCCAATTAGCTCTTGTTTTCCTTCTCCACGATCCAACATGTATTTCTGACATGGCTCTACCTTCAGCTTGACTTTTGGGAGCAGAGCTTCAGAGCATGAAGCAAATCCTGGTGGGGGCAGGAAGCGAAAGTTCCCATGCCTTCCCCCAAACAGAAAACGAACCCTGATTTCCAGGAAAAAGAGAAGAAAAGCAATTATGGTTTTACATTCATTATAGAGACAAAACCATGACCTCAGACAAAAATGCATATGGATGATATTTCAGTAGATTTGAGATTAACATCATTACGACAGAAATGGGATGATTAAATGAAAACAAAGCTAGAGCGCTAATAAATACAGAATGCTAAGTCAAGATTAACTAAAACCAAAAGCAAACCATTCAAAACAGCAAAACAACAAGAAGATTGCCACTACTGACTTGACTCCAGCAGAGAAGCTGACCACAGGACAAAGAAGCCCATTAGCACTGAAGTTCTCCAACATGCCCTGCACAGGTAGGCCGTTGACCCGGAAGGAGATGCAGGGAACAGTGAGGTCAAGACAGCAGCTAACCACATCATCGTCTCTCAGCAGGTGAGGGAAGGGCGAACTGACTTTGCGCGCCACGCAGCCTGAGATTCAATAGACACAGTCACTGGTTAATTTCTTCTAAATGCAAAAGTGCAGCAAGCCAAGTTTGAAGATTTACAACGCTTTATCAAATTAAACACCAACAGCAAAAGTAAAATGCTTTTTGTATTATTTATGTGTATGTATTTCTTTTACAACTATATTGAATGTGAAACTAATTGTAATGATTGGGGCTTCTGGGCCAACTGCCGAGCTACGATTGATACATTGACAGTATTTTATTGTGGCATTTACAGTAAAAGACTTTGCTTCACTTACACTGCTGTTACAGCACCCATACTGGACAAGACTACAATGCAGCGAGTTTATTATTTTTCACACTTTCTGAATTGAATGCAATGTGGCATAAACAAATCAAAAGTTTTTTTTGCTGAATCACTTAGAGCAAGCACTGGCGTTGCTACTCATAACGATAATTTACTGTCCCTCTGTGGTCATGCTTAAAAGAACAAACAGTAATATGTTAATGGATCTTTCTGGATAATTAAGTGCTGCTGAACATCATCAGTCGCTGCAGTCATTCCAATAGCAATGGTGAGATTTCAAGTTTCCTAAACAGGCGTATTAAAAAAAGATCTACTTTATTGAATTTCTTCATTGCTCATTCTAATTAGGTAAATCTTCTATATGTGGCTTCTACGGCAATAAGTTAATGCACGACGATGAACTTTCAATCTTAATTTGTGGCATTTCGCAACATAAACAGACACAGATATTTGCCTCAAAATGATTTCCACAGATACTGAGATGTGTCTGTGGAATATGTGGAGCAACTGAGCAGGTCCAAATCTACATTCTTTCTGGATATTTAAATTTTAATTAAACTCAAAAGATTAGCTAAAAAACCCATGTGACTGCTCATCATTTTGCACCCTGACAAAACTGATTAAGACTGAAATAGGGTTATGCAATCATGTTCCAGTGATCAAGATCCCCAGAAATACTACACAACAAGTCTTTTATCTCTTGTTTGAGCTCATCCTCACCTGACCAGAGGTGAAGCCCATCAAAGCCGTACGAGCAGAGGTCGTCTCCCACCCCGTTGCCCCCCCAGCCCTCTCCTCCTGTGGGCCTGGGCTGATAGCCTCTAGTGCAAGCCCAGCCAACACGCAGGTGTGTGGGCTCAGATGTAAGGAAGGGGTCGACGTGATCCACAACCAGCTCATAATACCACTTCCGATGCTGGGCTGAATCTTCCCCCATATCCAGGAAGATGTTTGGTCTCATGCTGTGGTGGAGTAGTGTGACAGACAGGAGCAAAGAGACATAAAAAGGGCAGAAAGGACAGAAGATTGTGGTGCATTATAGTTGCTGAGATTACAATATTTTAGTATATTATTTTGAAAAAATTATTCTACAACTCATGCATTTTCTTTGCAAACACAAGTAAAATGTATACTGTGCCAGTGTGACAAACTATTTGAGTGCACAGCACACTAAGGCAAATAACTTTTAAGTTCCAACACTCCTTTTAGCAAGGCTTAGTGTACAGAGCTTTCAAGCATCAGATCATCACTTGTATCTAGGTTAGGGTTACTGATAGATGTTAAAAAACAAACAGCAGGTCATATCAGTAACTAGTATTAATTATAAGTTACAATAATGGCAGGCGGGCTGCAAGGTGGGGCAGTGGTCAGCACCGCTGCCTCGCAGCAAGAAGGTCGCCGGTTCACGTCCCGGTGAGGACACCCGGGATCTTTCTGTGTGGAGTTTGCATGTTCTCCCCGTGCAGCGTGGGTTCTCTCCGGGTTCTCCGACTTCCTCCCACAGTCCAAAAACATGTTGAGGTTCATTGGTGATTCTAAATTGTCTGTAGGTGTGAATGTGAGTGTGCTTGGTTGTCTGTCTCTAAGTGTAGCCCTGTGATAGACTGGTGACCTGTCCAGGGTGTCCCCTGCCTTCACCCTAAGTCAGCTGGGATAGACTCCAGCCCCCCCACGACCCTAGTGAGGATTAAGCAGTGTATAGATAATGGATGGATGGAATAATGGCCGGCCAAAATGACCTTGTGCAGCTTCAAATTTGAGTGCAAACTCGTAGAGAAACACACTTCAGTACAAGACTGTTTATAAGGTAAACGATGCATCATTTTATCACACCACTGTACAGTCAGAGGATCAAGCACCCAGCTCCAACAGAGTGAGGAGGCGTCTCTGCTAAAAGCTCAGCTGATTATTTCAAGTCAGTTTTAGAGCCTGAATCTCCCTTTAAAATGGTATTCATATCATATGAAGAAATCAAGCATATCAACCTTTAGCTCTAAATCAGAACTTTCAGTATTTGGAGCAACCACCTATCGAGAAATAGAGTGTAAAATGAAATGTGAGACTGGATAAAATGGATGAAAAGAATGGACAGAGAAAAAAAAGAATAGACAAAAGAGCATCTGGGAGAATTGGCAAAATGCGGTGGGCGAGGAAGAGAAGATGGAGAAAAGAAAGAAAATTGATGAGATAAATGAAATCTGAATGAAAGCAGATGTACTAATGAAGCATTTAGATGAACAAAAAGTAAAAGTGATAGAACAAGAAATGCTTGAGGAGAAAGAGAGAGCTGGGAAATGGACTGAGCAGGTGTGAGGAATATGAGACAAAATAAGCTATAAGGCCTGAGGAATAAAATGGATAGGGCTGATGGAGAAAAGCATGATAAAAGAAGGCAGCTGCTTACAGAGAAAGGGCAGATTGAGAGAGAGAGGAAAAAAAAACAAGCACAAAGGAAAAGGGAAATGGAAACTGCCTCCAAGATCAGACTGGCACAGTGGGCCAAAATATTGAGAGACAGAGGAATATGAAGCATGATGAAACCGGCTAAAAATGTCCAAAGATTGACTCAGTTCAGTCACACCACCTCAGGCAGCAGGCAACTTTTCTAACGTCTCATTGGAAGAGGCTGAGATGAAGACATCTGTGCTCTACCATCAACATTATTGGTCTGATCTATTCGGACAAAAAGAACTGGTGCAGCTGATGAAGAGACAGCACTGAAAGAGACAGCAACGTCCAACAGAGGAAAGCTGAGTGCTGTGCTGGAGAGAAATCTAAAGCACTTCTTGTATCGTGGACATGTTACAGATGGAAAACAAATGCATGAACAAGCATGAGAAGAGCAAGAGAACAAGAGCTCCTATTCAGGGATTCTCCATGAGTAAATAAAAGCAAGGATGGATTATTGGAAGATGTACTTCATGCACCACGTATCATGTTTTTGTTGTAACTAATCAAATGTATGTGTCTTTTGTGTAACTTTGAAGTCCGTTTCTGTGTGTAGTGAACAACACAACCTGGAAAAAACAACCAGAGACGAGTCTAAACGCAGCAGAATTCAGAAAAATACTGAATAAAAAAAAAGTAAGGCAGAATGGAAGTAAGACGAATGACTCGGAGAAGAAACAAAACAAAACAAAAAAAGAAAACACAGTCCTATTTAGAGAACACCTTCTATATTACCTGGTGACCTGATTAACCAGACGTGTTTGGAGTAGCAAATCCCTGTCTGGCAGCAGGCTGTCACAGATGAGGTTCTGATTGGACCGCACCGCCACACCATGGCACACACACAGAGAGCACAGCATCTCCAGCACCTGGAACGCAACCTGTCAGCACTTCAGGCAGCAATAGCTCAATAAACAAATGGAAATGATGCCCCTGCAATAGGACACAGCTCGTAAAGCGCTATTATGGCTGTTAACAGCTGCAATACTTGTCTCTATGTTCTTAAAACATGTTGGAACTGCATAAGCTCAAGGGCGCATTTAGAGTCTTTTTCACTGTGAGAATAACAGATGTGTTTTTTATTACAAATCTAAATTCAAATGAGCTACTGCAGCCTGTAAATACTTAACAATAATTACAATAACTAGTCATTTTGCTCTGATCATTAATAAAGCATGCTTACTTGTCAGCACTACGCACACAATCCTTTCACACGCTACCTTGTGGTTGCATCCATGCTTGTCTAGAAATGAGATGATAGACTGAATGTGTCCTTCTTTGATGACATTGAGCGCTTCGGGACTTTCCACTAGGACACAGTGCAGCACCTCCAAGACTCCTGTAAATGCAATGACACCCTGTATTTAACCTCTATAGTGCTGTATTTTTATGTAATGCTGAGGCAACTAAATGTCAAATATGATAATGTAATATTTCTCCACAAAATCGGTCACATAAAACAACTGAAATGTATTTTAAATATATCATATTGTTAATGTATTTTGAATGCAGCTTAAAAACGGGATTTAGAAATGAAACCGCTAAATAATCGAACCTACCAGAAGAGGCCTCCAGCCGGTCCAGCCTGCTAATGAGCCAGTCGAGAGAACCTGAAAAATGTGCGCAGTTCACGCGGTTTCCCCGGATCAGAGCGGCTGAAGAGGGGAAAAAAAGGAAGGCAGCCTTGAACAAGATTTGCATTTGAATGTGTTATTAAGAGATCGGTAGATGTTAAAGAGGAAAAATGATTTGATATGTGTCAGAATATTACCATTGAGGCATCTATACTTGCAAGATGTGTTAATTCTCACCCAGGAGCTCGTAGAAACGGTTCAGGATGGTCTCCCACTCTTCTCCTGTGTCACTCTGAGCAGCTTCAGCAAAATGAGAAGGACTGCTGTATTGGTGAAGACGGTCGATACAGTCTAGGACCAGATCTATCACACCCTGAGAACAAAGGAAGGTAAACCTGTTGAACAGTGGAACAAATCACATGTAGGACCAATTCACTCATTAACAAGTTACATTTACCTCTTCTTGAAACATGTTCTGTCGATTCTTCAGCGCTGTCATGGTGTTCTGTTTAACTTCATGGCTTTGCCCCTCCAGTGGAGGCTGGAAGTAGTTTATTAGGTCCTTTAGACTGTATTTCACCATCTCCATTGGTAGGCTGACAGAGGGAAGGTTTCCTTCTTGATTGAAACAATCCAGTTGCCTGAAAAACATGAGATCTGTTTACCAGATTTTAAAATCTTCTTGTGTTGTAATGATACTGGCTTTAAATGCTGACTAATATGATTGCCCAGGCAACACTATCCTCATCTGAATCAAGGGTCTATGGACACAGAGTGTACGATGTGTTATTCCTAAATTTGTGTTCTTAGTATCCTTGTGTTCTTCTGTTTTTCTGATTTACATTGTATATATAGTGTACATACCTTGCCTCTTTAACTTATTGTTGTGTTTTTCTTGCTTTTCTCCTGTCACTTTGCTGCTGTGACATTGCAAATTTTACCCTTGTGGGACTAATAAAGGATATTCTGTTCTATTCTATGTAAAGATTGTGAACCCCCTGTCAAATTTAAAGTTTTAGTCTATATAAATGATTTTTTTGTTTGTTTTTATAAAAATGAAAGTAAACGTTTAAGACAGTACCACAGTAACAAGTCATTTCATCTTCTAGATTACTCTCAATGCAGATTTCTCCTCAAAATTATGACACATCTACATCAATGCATAACAGAAGAATTTCCTTTAGTTATTCTGAACTGCACAGTATTGTGGTGTGTGTGTTCCACAAGGGCATGAACAATCAATGCTATAAACTCCCTCTGAGCATGACATTTAGCATTTCATTTAACCTCGGTTGCTTTTATGAAGGAAAACTACACTTTTCACTATGTTAGCGTGAGCATGTGTGTGTCAGTGTGTTGTCTTCAAATAACTGAAGGTCTTAATCCAGCATCGAGTACCTTATCAAGGGAGTGAAGAGGTGAGTAGCGCTCCGGATGAGTCTGGCAGTGTGAGATTCTTCCCTCTGAGAACGAGACAGCGTCAGTCCATCGTCCATGTGACCCTCGCTGTGCAAAATGGCCTGAAAACACATAGTTTAAAATAAATTCCAACGTAGTTCCTGTAGTAATGGACACATAAAACAAACCTTCTAATTCATCAACAGTGATGGTCTTATAATAGTAATATTGAATACATGGGCTTACCTTTCGTTGAGCTCCTCCTGTGCGACACTTGGCATCAGTGGCTTGGTAGGTTAGCCAGAGCCCAGAGTCCACATGTTGAACATAACAAATGGAGTCTCCATACTTGATCTCTGGGGTTCCCATGCCATCGCCATTACTCTTTGTGCCAGTGTCAAGCTTCTCCTATAAACAAAATCCCCTGTTAAGCATTATTCCGGGTATCACAAATGAAAAACGCTCCTCTATTATTAAACTTTTCTGATTATAAATTGAAAAACTGTCCTACACTAATACATTTTCAGAGTGTGACTTGATCACGTCGGCACTAAAAAATGCTCAGTGTATTTCCCACATCACTCCTGACCTTGGATGATCGGAAGCAGAAGGAGGTCGTGTTGATGTCAGCCCTGTCGCGATCAACCAGATGGAGGCCTCTGTCCTCTGTGAGACCCAGGTACCTCCCAGTAGTCACATGGCGCAGTCTAAACGGCTGGCCCCAGCATGTATGCCTACCACTCCAGCTAGAGAATATCAAGGGCATTGCGTTTTTTATTGTTGCATTTGTTTTCCTTTGAAGATAACCGAATCTGCTACTACCCTTAGTTTTTCCTCTTTGCTCTTCAAATGGCACATTTGGGGACACAAACCCATAATTTCATCCTGGGTCAATGATATCAAATATAGTTCCAGCAACTCTGCACAGGCTTTGTGGGCATAAACAGCAGAAACAGAAATTCTGGGCATTGTTCTCGGACGTGAGCAGGAGAGGTATGTGCAACACGACACTGACCCCTTAGAAACAATCAAATAATGTAGGCTAACTGTATTCTTACAGTATTAACTCTAAAACCATGGAGCATAGAGCTAAGTACTTTAAATGATCTAAAAAACAATACTACATATTTCCTGAAAGAGCAAGAGAGTGGATCATCATATCCCCTGTGCACTTACACAACACGCAGAATCTCCAGCCTCCAGAGAGAGCGGGCATGGCTGGAGACTGATCCAATCTCATAATGCATTATCCTAGATTAAGGAAACAGACATGGTCACAGAAGTAGAGGACATTTTTCTCGAGCTGACATGGAAGGAGACTGGGCTTTTCGACTGACCTTTGAAGCTCCTCTCCCTGCTCTGCGGAGGGAATAGTCAGACATGCGTCACTGTGGCTGTGGAGTAGCCGCAATGTTTCGCCCCCCTTCAGGTAACCTAGAATTAGCATACAACAAAAAAATAAATAAATAAAAACACTGTTCTGTAATGAAAGAGGCCTTTTAATGTGTGTTTGAAACAGGAAATAAAGGCTTTAGAAGTGCTATCTACCACTCATGTCCAAACAAGTAAAACAGCAGAGAAATAGCACAGAGGGTGTGTGTTACAATAACTTTATGTGCAGCTGCTACGCTGACGAACTGGCATCATTAAAATCTGTGTTTGAACATTTGTAACTTGATTTGACTCCATTGCCAGCATCATTTAGTAAAACAGGAGGACATCACACATAACTGTAATGCCTCTTTGGTTTTTACAGCATACATTTTCTATTATTATTCATAAACAGACCCCTTTACACTTTTATTTCATTAATCACACCCATATTGAACAAGTGAAGGCCTGTTTGTGACATTTCTATCACTTTATTAAACATTTTAAATGACACAAATGAAGTTCTTTATGTTTTATCCCATATTGCTTAATAGCTCATGGCATGTGGTGGAGTCCATCTGTTTAGAAATGGGGAAACCTTTGTATGTAAAGATCTGATAATCCACCACATGTCCAGAGAAACACCAAGTTATGCTGTCCAAGGAACTCTGAAGATTTCCACAATAAAAGTAGCACACATCATGGAAAGGATAGATAACCAATGCTAAAGCTGTGAAAGTTGCCAGGATGACAATGGCTGCAATACTCATAAAATGGTAGTCTGGAACCGCCTCATCCTAGAGTTTTCCATCCAGTCAGATTGAGTAAACTAAATGAGCACTCAGAGAGCACATAAGGCTGATGCCCTACCTCATGTCTTCAATAACAGCTGTCTGAATCTGCACCAAAAGGTTCTTTCTTTTCCTATGATCCAAAACTCCAGCATGTGTGATGCAATTCAGTTTTGGAGTTTTTGCTTAATCTTGCCAACAGACAAGCAGCACTGATTGCATACCTCAGCTCTCAGAGAAAAGAGCAAGAAAGGCCTTCATCAGGGAGGTGGTCCAGAACCTAACAGTAACTCTGAGTTTCAAAAGTCGTCTCCAAAGATGAGAGAATCTGTCAGAGCAATGACCATCTCAGTTTGTCAAGCGCCACTTCAAGGACGCTCAGAGCATGAGGAAGCAGAATCTGTGGTCTGGCACAAAACATTGGCTTGTTGGGCAGAATGCTAAGCACCATGTCAAGTGAACAGATACAGAGACCTCCTGAAGCGACACGAGACTTGGGCAATAGCTCACCTTTCAGCGTGACCATGACCTGAAGCATACAGCCAAGACAACATTGTAGTGACTTCAGAACAAGTCTCTGACTGGCCTTAAGTGGCTAAAATCTAATTTCGGACTTAAACCGCTCTAATGTCTGCGGAGAGACCTAAAGATGACAGTTCACAGACGCTTTCCATCCAATCTGATAGAGGCTGAGAGGATCCATCAGGAAGAATAAGGATAAAACTGCCCAGATCCAGATATGCACAGCTTGTAAGGACTTAACCAAGAAGACATGAAGCTGTGACAGCTACCAGAGGGACCTCTACAAACTAATATTATAATTAAGGAGCTGAATACTTTGGTATACTGGCAATTTCCGTTTTTGATTTGGAATAAATTTTCAAAACATGCTTTTATTTTGTCATTATGGCTGGAAAGAGGTGTCAAATCTGCAACGCAACAAACTGTGCAAAAAGTGAAGGGCTCTGAAAACTTCCTGAGACCTTAGTGTTTCTGAATACAACACAATCATTTAAGAAATTAATCATTTGTTTTTTAACATACTGAGAGAGAGCAAAAAGAAAAGAAACTTGCCTTGAGCAACTGCACCTCCGGAGCAGATGGGAGCAACACTCCAGAGAGTCTGCTGGAAGGCTGCATCAACAATCAGACTGTCACTCAAACTTTTGTTGTCAAATACAGCGCCAAAGGAGAGGTGCTGGGAAGAAACAGAACGGTAATAAGAAAAATGGGCTCATCAACAATAAATACAACTTCTGATTTTTCTACCACAATAGCTGTTATCACAAACTATTATGCTAAACAATTCATCAAGAGGCAGAGAGAATACAGAATGCCAAATACTGCATGAAATCAAAGAAAATGAAAGCAATGATATATAAATGGTAGTTTCTGATGGAAAAATGGTGCTAAAAGTTGGAGAAGAAACACGGCTTAAAAGGGTACACATTTAAGTTGCCGAATACAAATGTTTAATTAGTATTTCATCACTTCTTTAACTAGATTAGGGTGAAAAGGTGAAGTAGATTTCTTAGCAAACTTAACTGACTCACCAGATATCTCTCTGAAGACACACTGACCAGTATAAGGTCGTCTCCAACACGCACCTTCTCACCCTCTGACCTCTGCCTGGACGCTGGGTGGACCGTCCACCAACAAGCCTCGCCTGAGCCACACGCAAAATATATATGACGGAAAAGTGTGACAGTTTACTCACTGTTAATTATAAAGACAAAGACTCAGAATAAGCCTGTTTTGATTATAAAGACGTCTAACATCAAGCACCTGCTTTATCCTCCTGTAGTCCAACGTCAAAAGCCAGCTTGTCATTTGAAGACTGAGACGAAGACAAGCAGCTGAGATACTGTGAATGAACACAGATATGTATTTTAGTAAGCAAAATAAACAGATATTTTAGAAAAAGTTGGTTAGAAAAAATATAGACTGAAACCTTCTGACTTATCTCTTATATACAAAGGACCCACCATGCCACTGTACGAGTGTAGGAACAACACAGCCTGGCCATACAGCAGAGTGCGATGGTTGCCTCCAGCTCCCACCTGTAAGTCACCGTCAGTATGTGAAAACTCAAATGGGCATAAATAGAAACAAGGACAGATGAACAACATAGAAACATCATGAATTTAAGAGTTATAAAACATTAAAAGGGGGAGTTAATTCTGAAGAAAGATTGTTGAGATTTCTGTCTCATAGAATAGTGTGTATTAATCTTGCAAAATAAACTGCTATTGTATTCTGAAATTATGATAAATCATCTAGCACTGATCAAATAGAAAAAAAAATCATTTCACAAATATTAAGATGAGTGCAGTGCAGTGGTTAACACTGTCCCCTACTGTCAATCTACCGGTCAGTTAGGAGAATGTTCTCCCTGTGCCTGCTGGGATTTTCTCCAGGTGCTTCAGCTTTTCTGACAGGCCCACGATATACACGTTAATTTGCATCTAAATTAGATGTAGATGTGGGTGGCTGTCTGTTACTTTGAGTCACCTGTGTCATAGCTCGGGCAACCAGTAAAGGATGCACCCTACCTCGCACCCAACATCAGCTGGGATAACATCCAGCTCCCCTGTGACCCTCTACAGGATGCAGCGGGTATAGCTAATGGATGGATGGAATATTAAGATGCAGTGGGAGAGAAAAGAAGGCAACAGATTCTCACCTCCGCAGTCAGGTGCTCGCTGTGGGCCAACATCTCCTGCAGAGCTCGAACAGAGAGGCACTGAGCCAGGACAAAGCCACATACGGACAAGTCTGGGGGAACATTCTGGCAGAAAGAAAAAGACAATACACTAAATGTTTGAGTTAATCAAATATCTGTCTCCTTCCTTCATACAGAAGAGTGCAGTTAGAGAGCAAAGTCACAGCAAATGGGGAATTGGGCTGTCCAAACTGGGAGGAAAAGGGAGGAAATATGGCACATAACACAATAAATTACAGAAATGGTTTACATGCTGAATACTAATCAGTTTGGCTGAATGGAAACTATGGAGAAAGAAACTTCTGGATAATTTAGCATAACACAATTAGCTCAAATGCATTAATATTTATGTGGAGACAAACAGATGTCGACTTGTCTTACAACTTTTTGTGAGACACTAGTTTTGAATATTGTAGTCAGAATGTTCCGCTGCTGTACAGTGCATCCTGGGGTTAAACATACAGAATATACATTATTTTGTACGGGTAATATATTCCGAAACTTTTCAGGGACTTTGCATCATTCCAGTCATCGCTCCACTGAGGTGGAGCATTTTACCTTGCAGTTAGAGGTGGGCTCAAGTCTGCAAAGTCTGCTGCCAAATCCTTCAGCAGCAAGACAGAGCTTCACGTGTTCCTCCTGGGAGGTGAAGGTACTCTGCAAAACCACCTCATCTCCCTGAGAAAAAAAACACACACACACACACACATAAAGATGACAACAGTAACAAAGCAAAGTTGTCAAGTGTAAAAGGAAAAACACACAGTGTGAAACTCAGATGATTTGTTTGTGAAACTTCAGATGATTAGGATCAACTAAAGACTTTCATCGTGCCAAAAACAATTCCAGCACTCGGTGCTCCCCCTTAGAAATCCACTCGTTAATTATGAAAATGGCTCGGAAGCAGTTTTGGCCAAGGGACGATTTCAATCTTCACTGACTCTCATATTATATTAATGGATTTTTTTTTGGAGGAGTAAACATCTCAGGGCACAGTGACCCAACATACCAATTCAGTTCTATTTTGCTTTTTAAAAAAGAAACTATCTCAGGAATGTGTTTGAGTGCATCCAGTTGGCAAGACTTACACACCAGCAGCATTGTAACAGCATGTACAGTAGATCTCTGTCACTTTACATTTATCTTATCTCCATTTAAATACCACACGAACCACATCAAACGAATTCGGCTTCTCTGTCTATTTAAGGAACCGTAGAGAAGGACAACAGACGACAGGAGTCCAGCCTGGACCACGACACCTCTCTGTGCTCAGACTGCAAACCTCCATATTGGGAAGATCCCACACCGTCTGACCCCTAATTCACCCTTCTTTCCACTGCTCGTATCAGCAGCACTCTGCAATCAGTCAAACACACAGCCCAACACTGAGGCACTGTGGGGCATTCTGATTGCTACAGGACTCAGCTCTTCTTCAAGATACATTTGTCAGGTGAAAATTCACCATGACATAAAACTTCATCCGAATCTTAAAAGTCCTTGCAACTGGAAATTGTTCATTCACATCAGACGGGCTTTCATGTGTCTTGTTTTGAATTTGTGATGCTGGTGTATATTTCAATCGATTCATTTTTAGGCTTTTTTCACAGCCACAGCGTACCACTCTGCTTGGAACAAGGACCACTTCTGCTAACATCATAAAAAAAAATGAACACATTTTTATGAAATAAATCAGGCGGCGGTGCTGTTTTACAAATGCCATCAATTTAATCAGCGAGGCTATTACAGTATGTTTCTCCTGTCATCTGCTAACTAAATTGATCATGAGACAAGATTCGTCAGGATCTGGGTTTGGCCTCCCACCTTCGCTGAAAAATTTCCCCGGGGGGAAACCTTGTATTTGATGTAATTACGTCTGACAGGCATATCGTGGATCGATCTCGCCAAATGACTTTGCTCCAATCTGTGTATTGGGCTCGGTGGACTTGTGCATCCCGGCCCGTGTGAGTGTGTGTGTCTCATATCCACACCAGACACTCTGCCTGTGACGTGCCCTTATCAAAGGGCAAAGATTACAAGCTGTTGGAGGACAACTTGCAACTGAGGTACAAAGATAGCATCTTGCAATGACAATGAGAAAAGCCATTTGTGGCCTTTTTTTTTTTTTTTTTCCTGTCAGTGACTAAAGCAAGTGATGAAGATAACAAATCGTGCTCCTGGGAGCTGAACCCTAAAAGTTAAATTAACTGATATTTAATATATTTTTATATTATTTATACTTAGACGTGAATAAAACATTACCATTTTAATAAAAAAAGCCACCATTTGCCTTTTTTTTTTTTTTTTTCTCCTGTCAGTGACTAAAGCAAGTGATGAAGATAACAAATCGTGCTCCTGGGAGCTGAACCCTAAAAGTTAAATTAACTGATATTTAATATATTTTTATATTATTTATACTTAGACGTGAATAAAACATTACCATTTTAATAAAAAACCAGAGCAGAAAACTTTTAACTGACAGCCTTGGCCATGTGCTATAAAGTTTTGCATGAACTTACATAAACTATCTGCTTTAATCTTTTTTAAAGTTACTACAATAAGTCACGAACATGTAGGCAATATTAAAACTGAAGAAAGAAAATTCACACAGGAGAGTTTGTGAAGATGCAGCAACGATGGGATTTGGTATTTTAATAAGCTGCTACTGTCTGTATCCTGAGACAGCATCATAAAAATAAGGTTTTATATTTTTATTATTTTTTTTTTAAACCAAAAACAATTAAGGCTGTTTTAAAGAAGAAATGTGAGACTAACTGGCTCCTTTCCAAAGATGTGGGTTAGCATACTAACTTTTGACATCTCTTGGGCTAGTTAAGTTGTCCAAATATCACCAAATATTAAAAGTTGTATTTAGTTTGGAAAAGTGTGTGACTCACCGTTCGGAGAAAGTGGAATTCATCGTCGCCATCTCCGGTGTCAGCCATTATTTGAAGCCAACGGGCCTCGGCGCTGCTGGTGATAGTGGAGGAGGCAGACTGGAGGCAGCAGGAAGAAGAAGAAGGTGAACGGCCGTTAGCGGCGTGGGCGGAGCTTCACAGTCGGCCATGTTTTTTTTTTGTTGTTTTTTTTTTACTGTTTTTTTTTTTTTTTTTTGCGGAGCAGCGTCTCTCTGCGGCAGAACAGGCGGCATTTTTTGGACCGCAGGTGTAGGTGTCAGCTGCATTTCTAGGATCCTCATGTTTCGTGACAGCGCCCCCTATTGAGTAGGTTAACAAATGGAATAGTTCTATTCAGGGAGTGACATCTCCTGAAGCAAGGATTGTGTTTCTGACAACCAGAGTGAGGACTGAGTGTGAACCAAGTATGTTTTACTTGTTGAGCAAAGTTATCAACAGGTTGCCAAAGGGGGTGATTATTATTATTATTAGTAGTAGTAGTAGTAATAGTAGTAGTAGTACACTCTTAAAACTATAAGTACTTGGTCAGCAAGTATTATTTTGGGTGGAAAAAACCTTTAAAACCACAATTTGTGAGTTAGAAAGTAATATTTGGGTGAAATAAACCTTCAAAACTACTCTGACTGAAAGTATTGTTTGGATGGAGTAAACCTTTATAAGTGGTATTTTGGGTGGAATAAACCTTTAAATCATACGTTGCACAGTTCGGTAGCTGTGTGAAAAACAAGGGTCCAAGCTGAAAAAGTAAATAGAGAAAAGAAGAAAAATCCTAGACTGTATGTATACAAATGTATGCAGAAGAAAAAAATGTAATGCTGCATTTTCTTCAACCCAAAAGAGCTCACAGGACATTCACTGATAAAGATCACTGACTAATGTTTCCACAGTACTTTTTTCTGTCTCTATAAAAGAATACACTTAAATGTTTACCTTAGGAAAACTCTCTCCTAATTGTCTAGGAATTCTATAAAGACTTACCAAACTCTGCATTCTAAAACTAGACAGACAAAATGCAGATTTGATGAATATTCAACTGTGGAGTTTAACTTTGAAACGTGTCAGTGTCTCTCTATATGAGATAACATCAACATCTAATCATGTAGTAGTGATGCTGGCTGTGCTGTGACCACACACACCAAAGAATCCCATGTCTGATCTATCGCCATATGAAGCCTGACTGCTACAATGAGTTTAAGCAAATACAACAACTAATCATGTGGTCATATTTTAGAAGTCACACAGTAGTATGTTTAGTTTTGTTTTGCTTTTTCAAGGCTGATATCATTTATTAATCAGCCAACCACCAATATTTGGAAGTGATGTGTATGTGCAGCAAAAGGAAAATCAAAATTTTTAATTAATGCACAAATTTAACACAAAACTTCACTGAAATCCTCTTCCATTTAACATTTTACATCTGGTTTTTTTTTTTTTTTAAAAGAACGTTTCAACACTTATCCTTCAGCGTTGACGGGCAATTATTGGTGATGTATAGCTAATCAGATATGACTGTCGACAGGGCATTCCTAAAGACTGCAGAGTGATGACTACAGACAGAGTGGCGGCTGCACCAGAACTGCTTAAATATTGTATTTTCTGATATTTTTTAATACTTTAACAATCTGGTAACTGAATCGTTTTAAAATAATTTTGTTCTTGGTAGTTTTCTGTACAGGACTCAATACATTGTTTCTATTTTCATTTTTCTCATTCTTTTTTAATTTAAATAATTAGTGTTGGTTTGTCTACATGTCGATCTGTATATTTGTTAGTACATAGAGCTCACTTTTTGTTGTTTTTTGCTTGCTGTAACTAAAAGACTCTGGGTTCCACTAGAAATTTATTGTCTAAGCTTAATTAAGTGAAAACACGTACTCGCACACTGTCTTCATTCTCCATAATTACCACCGAGTACACAGTTCTCTCCAGGAAACAACTAGGAAACTATTAAATCCTGTTGGGTTTTTTTTGTTTTTTTTATAATAGCTAATTTAGCATTTGACCAAGCTGTAACCTCTAGCACATTTGCAGTGCTGTTGATTGTTATTTGTCACTAAAAAAATATTCCAAAATAATAGATTTCTGAGTTAAATAGAAATTAATAGAAAATTCATTATCTAGCAGCAGGACGTCTGATTTTAATTACCCCAACCATTTTTCTAAAAACACGCGGGTCAAAATTTTTTGCTTGACTAAAAGTTGAGTCTCTGGAAAACTACCTGATCAATTTCCATGAAGTTTGCTTTGAATATTTATGGTGTCAAGAGGACAAATGCTAATGGTTCTGGTGACCCCATCACAAAACGACCTGAGCTTTTGTCTAGTTAGCGCACCGCCAGGACAAAAGTCACACTTGCTCACAAAATGCAGCAAAACCTAATTGCCAGAATACATCCAGCCCTCCTCAGATGGTCCATTTTGGCGACATGACCTTTCCTCTATACCTACCTTGCACCAAAATTTCACTTTTCACAGAACATATTGCATAATGTAACAGGTTGATTGGCCTGACATTTACTGACCACATCTGTGCTTCTCAAAGAGAGAACCCCTCTGAATTCTTACAGTCACCAATCTGTTCTGATAAAGTCCATATTTTTAACTCATGAGATGCAGTGCTAAAGAAGAATGAGAAGAAAAAAAATCATTAATACGTATTTCTTTCCAGCCAACAACTTTATAAGATAGGGTGGAAAGAATGGCATTGCAGATGTTACTTTTCTAAGCCTGAAATACTTTACCAACAGGGAGAAAAGGAAAATCTATATTTTTCATTAAGTTGGTTTTGCTCTCCAACCATATTGATATACTTCCCAGCTTGCAAAACACCACTTGAAATGTAACTCCCCGAACACGGCCAATGCAACCACATCACATCACCTCCATCTCTCTTCACTTCTATCTTTTCAATCCCCAACCTGGACCACATAAATATTACATGTAATTTCATACATATATGAAAGAATCTGGTATATTGTAAATGAATATATGTAAAGGATTGTTTGCAACTGCTACAGATGCAAAGAATCAATTTAGAGTAAGTTGTATTATACCACTGATCCTAGTAATAACAGATGTACAGGCGTAACCGGTTCCACTGTCATTAGTTCTGGTGAAGCAGCTTTTGTTTACGTGTGGATTATGACTTCAAATGCTGCAAAACTGCAAATGAAAGACATATTTCAAGCAATGATTTATCAGGCTGAAATAAAGGGTTCAATTAGTCACAAACTGTTTATTTAATTAATCCATTACCCCAAAGTACTGAATTAGATAACAGAGCCAGCAAATCTTTTCAAGGTGTAAGTACTGAATGAGAACCTTCGTTTTCTTACCAAAATACAACAAATCAAAGTTTCTTTTTAACCAAAAATGTGTGTCAACGGGAATTACAGTAAAAATGTCTTGTAAAGGGTTTACTTGCATCTTACAGAGTATGAAAATAATAGTGTGTGATCTGAGTTGAGGCTGTGTGAAGTGGCCAGTGACCCTCTTCTCAGAAAATTCAAGGGTGAAATCTTTACCAAGTAATCTTCATCGTTGGTATCAAGAGTCATGAGCAGCACATTGTTGTTAAAGCATCGCCACCACTGTATATTTTTGTGTTTGGCAGTGTGGAAATTCTTTACCGTTTCTTCATTACATGCTCAAACAACATAGAACATGAGTACAGTTACAGGAAATATGCAGCCAAAGTAGGTGGATGATGAGGACGACTGAGGAATCAGCACGGCGGGACCGGTTATTGCACTAACAACAGGACTTCAAATGTGTCAACAAGTAGGGAACAGTGTAAACATATTTAGCCAGCACACATATTAAAGGCATACATGACTAAATATGGGATTTATACATATGTTTTTAACATTTCCTGAAGCAGGAACAACTACAAAGTGCTTACATGTACCTAGAATGTCTAAAAAACAAAGACACTATGGTTCACAAAATGAGCACAGATGTTCTCAAACATACATATCAAAGACATGTGACCATAACAGAGGTGGTTTCCCCTACATGTATTAAAAAAAAGCAGATATGCAGACAAGAAGATCCCTTGTATCTACTGAAGCTTACCTCAGAACACAAATGAGAATAAAATGTAAATAAAGGCTTTAGATGTACACCACAGCCTAATACACTCCTATTGTTAATTTACCACCGATGACATCAGTGAGGGCTCACCTTGCTGCTACATTTGATTTTTATGGTCATGTGCACTGCTTTTCGGCACTGACAAATAAGGCATTTCTAGGCACATGTAAGCATTAGCATATTTGTCGCTGCCAGAGAAAATGTTTTTTGCATTACTCATGAATACGACACATTTAGTCTTCTGGGTTTTGTACCTTTTAAAGCACCGAGCAATTGTAAACATTTACTTTTGCATTCATGTGTTTTTTCCATTTTTTCACTGCTGGTGCTGCATATTTTTGGCCTTTTGGGAACCCACTGTTTATTGATGGATGGCAGTAGGTCTGAAATTGCTTTTGCAAACTGTAACCATCTCAAAATGCCTTATCAGAACATTTTATTCCCAAAACAAAAGGCATTGTGAGGAAATATGGAAAACAATACGCAACACTCTAAACAAAATAGGACTGTTATCTTCAATTGATAAACTACTGAAATACAAGTTCTCCATTGGTGTATTATCAGGTAATATGTATTTTGTCTCTTCCTTTTACTTTAATTGTAGAATCACACTGTCTGCTCAAATACCATTACACACAAGTTATACAGTAAATTGCATTGTTTCTCTATATAATTTGATCAGGGCAGCTTCTATTTCTTTAGGAGGCATCTTTTACCCAAGAGGACACAGGAAGAATACCAAGTAACATGACAATGCTCGGCATAATTGCAGACAGACTACTGTGTCAGAAAACTAATCAATAAAAACTTTCATTTAATTCAACATATTTGATCCACCTTGCATTGTTGATTCCTTAATTTCATGAATCGATAGAGGGCAGGGTAGGGACAGGTAAACGGGCAGTAGATTTAAAAGGTGTTCTGGTCAGGTTAAAGGTCACTCTCTCCGTAGAGGGCAGTGGAGAAGGCAGCGTAGTCTAGTGCCCCTGGTGGTGCTCCAGGGCCGGCGTAAGGTGGCATCCTCATGATGCAATACTCTGCTTGCTCAGGGGGAAGTTCTCTCCTCAGCTCATCCACAAGTATGTAGGGCTGTGGCGGCACATAGACAGTTGCCTTTTAGAATCATACCAATACCTCATGAACAAAATAGCAGATCATAAATAAACACAACATGGCAAATATTTGGCAATAATGACAGGAACAGAATGCATTAGAGTCAGCTTACAATACCTGCCCATATGCCAGTAAGGCACACTGGCTTAAACACACACATACCTTATCAGCTGCCAGGATCCGGAAGGATGCCACAACCTGCTCAGCAGTATCTGTATCAGCAGTCTCTCTGGTCATAAAGTCAATGAAAGACTGGAAGGAGACAATCCCAGTGCCATTGGGATCCACCAGAATCATAATACGGGCAAACTCCACCTCTCCCTGAGAAAAGCATAAATGGAGAATGTCTACATGTTTGTATATGTAAAATACATTAAAACGGAATTCTAGCAACATAGCTTCATCCATACAGATGTGAAACAACATACCAAGTCATAACCCATTGAGATAAGGCAGGCTCTGAAGTCATCCGTTTCCATTGCTCCATTCTTCTTCTGCAGGTTAAATTTTAGGTTCACCATAAGAGAAGTTGAGAGAAAAGAGACAATTATGATAAGATCACAAGCTAAGTCCATTAAATGCAAAATTCTTGTCAAAGCGTCAATCATGGCAGCAATATTGTGAGACAAAATTCTAAAATATGTGCCATATGCAGTGTTTTTCAGTGTTCCTAAATCTGGCAGGTACTGGGGATGGCTTGCACTTTGTTTTAGGCTTTTGTGACAATACTTAAAATAAGGGGAAAATATAGTTACATATGGCTCAACATGCAACAGTACATAGCATCTACTTTTTTTTGTATACACAATTTGTGATAACCAATAGAGAACTGTTAAATATTTATCTGACTTCTCAATCAGGGATCACTTAAGATGAACTGTAGGGTCAGCTGCAGACCACCACTCTAGAGAGAACATGTGGGCAGCGCTGCTCGCAGTTACAAGACAAAAAACTGGGCTTCCCCTTCTCTGCTTCTGAATTGCTCAGATTACTTCAGATTGGTCACTCAAACTGACAAAGAATGACACACAGTGATGTGACAAGTTGGAGAGCTGTACCCTGTCAAAGTGGTTAAAAGAGGATCTGAACTCATTCATCTGCTGCTGGCTGATGCCCTTGGCGTCTCGGGTCAGGATCTGGGTCTCTATTTCATTGATGGTTCGGGCGATGGTTGTGAGGAGCAGTTCCCACCCAACACGGATGTGCTGTTGATGCAGTGACAGCAAACAAGTTAACACAAAAAAAACACACCTAGACCACTTTAATGCATACTGAATGTCTTTAGAGAAAAAAAATGGATGTCTAAATGTATGTAGATAAAGATATTTGCACATTTGGAAATTCAATAGACCTTATGCAGTGTATGTGCATTAGTGTTGCATGCACCTCCAGTTCATTCCATCTATATGTGCATATATTTGCAGCAAGGTTTTCCCTTGTGCTGTACCTCCATAGTGTAGTTGGTATGTTTGTTATCAAACACAAGCGACTCTTGGATTAGCTGGTGGTCTCCCTCCAATTTGTCAATGTTGGGTTTGTAAGCAACAATGACGTGTTCACATTGCTTCAGCTGCGTCATCTGGTCCTCCAAGGTCCCTCCTATCTCCAGGGAGCAGCGCCCAATTTCCTGTTAGGATAACACATGCAACGAGGTCGGCTTAATTTTTACACCAATTAGCTCGTAAGATGCTAATCTCCCAGATCTGATAGGATGCTTACTGATACTGCAGGAAGTCATTTACATGTAGCTAAGGATATATTCTGCCAGGTTTTTTTTTTTTTTTAAAGAAAAATGTGTGTAATTACTAATTTTACTTGGCATTAATCAATCATCACCAGAAAGCCACCATCATTGTGCCTCCATTATGTACAATACATTTGAAAATAATTATCTCCCAGTTTAGGTCTTTATTTGATTAGTTCTCAAATTGCTAATGAAGTCTGTATCAAACCTCCATCCTGGTCTGTATCCAGGGTCCAATGAGATTAGCCTGGGCAGCAAACTGCCGTCTCAGCCTTTCATTGGCATGCTGGCGTGCCATCTCCTCCTGGAGGGAACCGTCTCTCTGAGGAACCAGCTTCTTCACCTAGAAAACACAAATGAGGTTACATGGTACTGCAAGAAGCTCACTACCCTCAAAAAGAGCAATTAACAGTCAACAAAATTATGCTTGATATTTAGATTACATACTTTGGAGCCTTACTATGTGCCAACTCTTTCAGCTCAGTGGTAAATTGTTAGAGAAACACTATCAATAAATGTAGACAAGGCTCTCCATGCTCCCTTTTTCATAATTAATGCTTTTTAAATGGGCAGACACCCACTATCTGAACAATGACTATTACTCAACATAATGCATGAATCTGTAAGTGAGTATTAAAACTCCTGCTACCTTTTCCCACTTGTTGAGAAGCTCCTCAGTTGTGATGGTGCTGTAAGGGTTGACGATGTTGGCCTTGATCCCGTAGCTCTGGGAAATTTTCAGCACCTCATTGTGGATTCCCAAGATGGCCTGTCTCTCTGCATCCGCCTCGGGTAGAGTGGCTTTGAACTGCTCATGAGCTGCGATTAGACTCTGGAAGGGGAAGTAGAAGAGGGAAATCCTGCAATTTCATTTAAATTTAAATTTAGTCAAGAGTGATAACATTATGTGATTTTCTTTAAGGTGTGACAAATATAGCAATTTAGCATTAGACACCATATAGACATTCACAATGCAAAGAAACAGTATATAGGCTTCATATTAAAGCCAAATATGACTTATTTATTCAAAAGTTGTTTCCTTTGACTATGTATCAGCACTAATAAATGCCACTCTAATATCATCAATAGCAGTAGGTATCTTTGTCTACAGTTCTGAATGTACTATAAGCTTACCTGGACCTCTTCAATCGTATGGACTATGAACATGTCCTGCAGATCCTCCATGGCTCCTTCCATCCAGTTGTTGAAAGGGGCTGACCTCTTGGCAAACTCCAGGAACAACTGATCAATAGTCTCCAGCAACTTATCTGTGCGCTGAGAGGAGTACAAGTTAAAACATGCATGTTGTATATTTTGAAAATGTCACAATATCTAACCATAGCTCAGCATTATGCTTCACCATGTCCTAACTAGGAGTCACCCTCGTATCTCACAAATCCCAAAAACAAACATACCCTCACCTGTTTCGGTGAATAATGCCAGGATGCATGGAGGGAGGTGGGGAGTGGGAGATGGACAGGAACAGACCCCTGTCCCTGTCATTCAGACTTAATCCTTGGCCCTTTTCCCAGGCCCTCACACATTTGCAGGTCTGGAATGGCCAGCATGGATCAGAGGAAGTGGCTAGTGGGCTTTGAGCCAGCCACTTCCTGGGCAGGATTTCTACATCTATTCCTCCTTTATCCCCTCCAGCCTTCTATTTTACCCTTCTATGTGGGTCATGGATTTTAGAGGGGATCCAATTGTCTCTCCTCATCAATCAGTTGTCTCTTCATCATTCAAGTCATTGACAGACATTTAAAATATCCTTCAGCTAACATTTTGATCAAGTTGGTTTTTAATGCATTTCCATTCTGTGTCAATGTGGAACATTAGCACACCCTTGTGGAGACTTAAATTTACAAAGAAATCTGAACTTTTGGACTCTCACTAGCTATATTGAATGAATACTACAGGCTTGGATGTAGAAGTCTTTATCAGTTTTCATAAGATTTTTTTTTTTTTTTTTTTTAAATACATCTCATCCTACCTCCAGTGATTCTCTCCTCTTCTGAGTCAGGGTTCCCAGCTTGTCCCACAAGTCACAGATGCTCTGACAGCGTTGGTTTACAGCAGCAACGTCATGGTAGTCAAGCTCACTGGAACAAAACAAAAGCATGCATCACTGTTCAGTTGTAGAAGATAACTAGTGTCATTTGTTCCTCTATGCATTTGTCCAAAAAAGTAGCCACTGATAGCATCGTGAGTAAAGTGTCATGGAGCACAGAGTGAGAGTGTTACAAGTTTGAGTTCACATTAAATAAAATTACATGTACAAACCCAGTTGTACTGACTTTTTAAGTATGCCAAAAACCCACATTTATCCAGTGTAGTTGGAACTTTGAAAATACAGTACATTTTGATTTCTTTACACAACCACGCTGAGTGTTCAGTACATTATGCACTTACTGTATGCTCAGAAAAACGCAGTGCCGCTGTGATCCCCGTTTTTTGAAAGCATCTGAAGTTATCTTCAGTTACATGCTTTCAACTGACTTAAAAATCAAACTAATGCAACGTAAACAATGTGTTCATTTAACTTTTTATTGAGTTTCAAAAATCAAGCGACTTGAACAAAAGTCATATGATCCAATAGAGTAAACTGCAGGCATCTGTAGACCTGCCTTTACCCCGGAATGCTTCAAGTTGTTTGAAAAACTTTGAGAAAGCTCTGGGGCTGCTGCAGGAGTCCATCACTGGGAACAGGAGTTTGATCAAAGGTGAAGCCGTATTTCTCATAATGGACATCATTTTGTTGATCTCCCCCATTCTCGTACTCAGTATGAAAGTGTGACAGTGTGCCAGGAGGATGCTGGCCACTCAAAAAGAGGTCAAACAGGTTTGGTCCAAATGGTTCCAGGGGCTGTGAAACTGGCTGCACGATGCCTCCTTCAGATGAGAAAGCACTGGACAGCTGAGCTGAGGCATAAGGAGGACCTGGCACATCACCTTGATCTTCTGCTTCCCTTTCTGTATTTCCATGTTCAAAGATGGATGCATAGTTGCTCAATTCACCACCTTTGAAGGGAGGTTCCAGATTAGGAAAAGGTGGCACAAAACCCATCTCCTCGGTTTTCCGTTCTGAGTTACCATGCTCAGCGTTCCCTTCAAAGTGATCAAGTTCACCCGACTGAAACACAGGTGGACGGGGAGGAAGGCCAAGACCAGGCCGGGGCCGTCGGTAGTAGGTAGATCCAGACTCTTCCACAGGACCCCAAGCAGAAGTCACACTGTACTTGTCTGGAGTTGAAATGAAGCTCACTGGATAGGTTACAGGAGGAGAATATTCTTCCTCTTCATACAGGAATGAAACAGCACGATCATTCGGGTCACTGGGCAGAGGAGGAAAACCAGGGGGAGAGCTAGAACTGAGGCTGGGATTCCCCTCCGTGTTTAAGAGACTGCTCCCATCAGGATTATGTTGGCTCCAGCTCTGAACTAGGGGCAAATAATGTTTATGGTAAAGTTTAATAAGCGAAGAGAAAATCTGATAACATTGAAATCACTTAAGTTTAAGTAAGCATCTGTGAACATTTATAGTCTCAGCAAAGTAGTCGTCTTACCATTTTTAGCAGGAAAGCAATGGACATTCCAGCTTAACAGTGCAATGAGGAGCAACTGGCTGGAAAAGAAAACAGCATCAAAATAAACTCAAAATAAACGAGCCACAAATAGAAAATGAACAAGCAAACATAATCAGATGACCATCACATACCTTACAAAACCCCAAGTAGCCATTTTGCTTGTCAGCTGAACCATTATCCTCCTCGCGCAGAGTGCTTGTTAAATATGAAACAGGAAAAACTCTGAAGCCAATCCCGGACTGAGAAGGTAATGACACACAGGTGTCTATCATTGCTGGTTGAAAACCTCAGCATGTCTGTGAACCACACCTTTCACCTTTCTGCTGATACTGTAGTGACAGACACTTAACTAAGAATACCCATCATGAATATCTAACCTCCATTGTGGCCTGGAGTTCAAAAGCGGTTCAAAATCATCTCACAGGGAGGGAGTGAGAGAAACTGTGAGTTCATTTTGTTGCACATTATCGTCTGAGCTGCTTGCTTCCGACTGTTTTCTGCTTCCACTGTCTCAAAAGTGAATAACGAAAACAGAACAGATGTTTCATGACAAATGAACTTTAGCATTTTGTGTGTGCATGCAGCGTAGTGTTGTGCACGTCTGTTGTTGCTTGTCATCCATAATTTAGTCGGGCAATCACCCCTGTAGGTTACATTTTGTGTCTTGAGCCAGAATACAATTAAAACAATATTTACAAGCGAGAAAGAGAAAACAAGATTGCATTAGTTGACTTTGATATTATTTCCCTCTCCTGGGTCTCCATGACACATGACTCAAACATCTGCTATAGGGAGTGCGTACTTTAGTTCCTGAGCAATGGCAGCAATCTGCTCCACTCTGTCCTGGTGGGCTGCCAAGTCACTCTCGAAGGCCTCGTGTTTTCGAAGCAATGCTCTGATTTCTGTCAGGGTTGCCGTTTCGTAGTCCTTCTGGGAGAGAATCAGTTCTTTACCTGAATATCACAAGAGAAAGGAACAGCAAGGTAATTAGTGGGTTAGAGCTGAACACAAGCCGTATTTGGTCATTGCAGATAGAGAAAATGGCCGCTCTGTCGGCTGATTGCATTGGACAGACTCTAAAACCTTCAATTAAATCTCATTAGGAACAAGTCTAAACAAACCCTGGGGTTAAATGAAACACTTAAACAATGAAAAGCAGGCTGAGTAGTGGGAATACTGATGACTGCAGATAAACAACTGATAAACATGCTGAGCTATAGACACAGCACTAAGAAACAGAAATGCCAGTATGGAGACAGTTATAGAGCCAAATGTACTACTGCAACTGACCACTGGCCCAGTTCTCATGATTGGTGGCTTTTTGGCGAAACTTTTCTGCCAGGTGGTCCAGCCTCTCGAGCCTGCGGATCTCTGTAAGAAGCCACTCCTCGTAGCCTTTCTCTGCCTGCTCCAGGCCCTGCCATGCACTGGCTATGTCCTATCAACACAATGAAAGAGTAAAATCAGTTTAAACATACTCACTTTTTAAGGTTTTTAATTGTTTCTAAATATGGACATTTGATAAATAACTATTATCACCCTTCACTGGTGGAGTGTGAGTGCTTGTTACTTGAAGTCCTGTTTAAGATTGAACCACTAAAGAATCTGCCATATGACTTGACATGAACAGTGGAGTGCACAATCACAAACATGTCAGTGATCATTTCATTACAATCAGGGAGAGAATTCAAAGCCGTGACTCACAGATACCATCTTCCCCTCAGAGGGCATAAAGGCAGGGCGATTGCTGATGCGCAACTTGGTCTGCAGGGTGTTGAAGTTAATTTCCAGCTGGCACTTCTCCTGCACCTTGGGGGGCTTGTGCTGGCGTCTGTAGTCTCTGAAGTCCTCCAGCTTCCGCTGCATCTCTGCCATGGTCTTCTCTGGGGTTCGATTTTCCAGCCAGGGAGTGGTGCGACGGATCCACTCCAGCAGCTGGGAAACAGGAGGACAACATGGGAATAAGTGAAGAGGCAAGAGAGCTCCATGGTAAGATAGACTGTGATGAATAATTCATTTTTTTAAGCAGATGGGTCTCAGCTAATCGCAGCAAGAGGGTACATAAGTGGGGGAAAAAAGAGATGTTTTTTAACCCAAACTTTAGCTTGTACTTTTGATTTGAACTACTTTCACGAATAGTCATATGCAGAGGGTCGACTGTACTGCGTATATTATGATTCATATTGTATTTCACTTTGGAAAATAAAAGGTTTTAACAGATAAAGTGTCATTATCACATTTTTTTAAAGAAACTTTACCTCACTGGCCAGCCTCTCATACTCCTCCATCAGTTTCTCATTCTCTTGGTTTACACCGAGCACCTTACAGATCCTGTTTGCAGCCGTCTCCGCCTGAGAGCACAAGAATATTCTAATCAAATCAACAAAGTAAGACAGCGTGCCGTGCTCCCATTGATCCTTTTTAATATGTCAAATGACATTATCCTCACAACACATTTGTTGATCAGCATGCTATTTCAAAATCAAACCGACAACAGGTTTCTGCACCTGACTGTGTTCTCAAAATACATTTGCACTGTTGAAAAGAGAGAGACGAATAGCTAAGTTGTCTAAAAATACAAATTGGTAAGGTGATAGTTTCAACCTCTATACCTGCTCGGCTCCAGCAAACGCATGGTAGAAGCAGGACACGTAGGTCATGATAGCTCTCTCGTCGGGTTTGGGGGTGTTGATGATATCTATGGCGATAAAAAGGAGGAAAAGTCAAGGTGGCAGAAAGAAAGAAACAAGTGGAAGCTATGATTAATCAGGAAACTCAAGGGAGAGTTCCATCTTAAGTCTCCTGTGATTGCTGCCTTTTTTGATTTGATATTGCTTCAGTTCTTTACTGACACATGGTTAGTCTTACACATATAACTTATCCTGACTGAAACACTTGTGTGGTTGCTGGTTAAACCTCTGTGAAGGAGAGTAATGCAAAAGTAAACAGGAACACAGGAATCATATTATTAAAACAAATTTTAAAGATCAGTACACAAGAAAGCTGAAACTGTTCGCGAGAAACCTCATGTTGGATGTTTCTACTTCATAAAACATTACCTTCTGCGTCCAGCATTTTGGGAATGTCCAGGTGTTTCTCGGCTATGTCAAAAGCCAGGTTCAGGTTCCCCAGAGGATCATCCTAAATAAAGAAACGCATTTCTACATCACTGCACACCAATGCTGGACTTAAAATGCCAGTGCGCTGAGCTCCATGCTATGGAGGACACACTAAAGTCCCTGGCCACATACTCTACATGCACATTTAACAGCACTCGAAAATCTATCATAAAGATCTCCCTCACAGAAACTTCTAATCTAGTTTCCACATGAGTCGAATGCTTATTAGGCCCCTTCACACGAATGTGTTAATTACAGATTTACCAATCGTATGAAATCATCAACTCTTCACGGGAAAGTCAATTGTTATTGACTCATTCTCTCAAATCCATAACATTCATGAGAATTTTTATCTGATAAAAAAGTACTTGTGAATATTACTGTCACTGATGTGTTTTTTATGAAGCTTTTCATATTTTAGAATCTGACATGCAAATGTGAAGACTTTTAGATGAGAAATGATGAAAAGGGGCGAGCAAATCTTTACATTCATGAACCTATTAACAGTGAGTGTTTTTATTTACTTCATAAAATATGTGACTAATCTGTTATGAATGCATATCATAAATTAATCAGCCACTAAGTAAATTGACTGATATTATTCAAATAAACATTTCACTGCTATAATATGCATTGTGTATATTTACTAAAATGACAAATGTAATCACAGACATTTTCTTTTCTCACACAACTGACTGACAGGAAGAACCAAGTGTTTTAGGAGTGGGAGTGGTGCATTAGACCAACAGCTGACAGTGAACCCTTTGCTGCTAATGGGGCAGTCAGTGAGAGTGCAATGGGGTAAAGGGATCATGCTATCATGCTGCTGCTATTGTCCCTATCTCTGTACCGCTGTTCCATAAAGATAGGGGAGGGGGGTGATTGCACACTACATGACAGGGCCAGCTGCTCACAGATCCAGTGCGGGACAGATAGATGGATGGATGTAGTAGTAAATTGATGGGATGGATAGAGAGCTGGATGGATAGACGGATACCCCAAGCCTTCAGTGTGTGTGCCCCCCTAACCAGAGCTGTCTCGGCAGGCTGTAACACTGTAAGCTTAACGAACACGCTCACCTGGAGCCAGACTCAACAGCTGCCTGGCACAAAATGCAACTGTCTCCTGGCAGCATGAGCAGAACTGAAAAGTCAAGGTGTGACTGAGCGTGTGAATATGTGTGTCAAAGACAGAGAAAGAGGAAGGAAAATGCAATGGAAAGACATACTATGTTGTGGTGTACTGTACAGTATTCTCTCTGTGTGCATCACCTATAATCCCCTAAATAGCCCTTCCTGCCTTTGAAAACTGACACAACCCTTGTAGCGGTATTTAGGATTTTACCAATAAATATCACAGTTATCATTTCCCAGACATCCCTCTGGCTTTTATGAGGACTGGTCAGCCTCTAACTGGGGAACACGACGTGACAGCATGGACAATAGAAGAGGTAAAGCTAAGCCTGAGCTCTGCAGGGACTAGGATCATGTTTCTGTGACTATTCAGGGTCAACTTCAAGTCAGGTCACTGAGTTGTGTGCTGAAAAGTGAGTGGCTCTGTTTCCAAAACAAATGAAAATGTCACTCTACGTGTCCAACCGTGGTATTCCCCGACTATACATTTACAGCATCGGGCCACATTTAGCCTGGGTGAAGTAAAAGTTCCTATTTAAGATCAGTTTCCAGTCAGATTCCATTTTCAGATTATTTCTTTAAAAATAATTACTCCTCATTTTATTTCTATTAGACATTCAGTGGATAAAATCTCTATAAAGCCTTACAGATAGAATCTCAGTTTTATATTATATCAGAGTTGGCAGTGGAAAAGTAGTGCCTTGTAACTTTCTCCAGCAGCCTTGGCCTTTCCTTCTGACTAAGACACCACCTTCTTGCAGGAGGGAAAGTGTGCATTACTGGTACATTATAGTCACTTGACAAACACAGTAGGAGTGCCAGCAATGCTCTCCAGCTCTGCAGATAAGCAGCTCACTGAGGCCCTCATCTGTTTATACACAAACACTGAGAATCCTGGGCATCCATTAAACCAGAACATTTAAATGAGACATGGATTCATGCCCCAAAAACACTTATAGCTCAAGTATGTATGCACACACCGGCACGCTAGACGTTATACGGGTTTCAAATGCATGAGAAAAGTCATGTCACTTCAGAGTGTGTCATGCAGGGGAGGTCACATATATCTGCCGTTAAACCCAATTTTGTAATGGACACGGTCGGATGCACTAAAACAGCAGTCTTTTTTAATGCTAATTATGATAAAACTGTGTCTTAAGTAAACTGTTTTAGTGAAGAATAATGACGCGCGAGGTGAGGCTAAATAAATGCACTTAGGACTCATCTGTAAACAAGAACTACGTCCATAAATTAAAGCAGCATTATAACCATTAGCCAAATAACAAACATTAATTATACAACAAAGAGGACTCTCCACAGACGACACAGTTAATGTCAACACAGAGCTGGTCCTATGGAATGCTACACATTTGTAACACCAAAGGGCCATAAATAGTATAGACAGTCCCAATGAACTAATTCGAGTCAACTGCTCGTTTTTAATCTCCTGTGGATTCAACGCTAAAACCTACACAAATGTCTGAGTCAAACAGGCAACCAGGTGAGCACCGCAAGTGAGTTATTAGGAGATGAAAGAGGACATGGTTGAAAAAGATGGGATACACTCCAGCCCTGTTTCAAAATATAGGTCAGCACATCATTAAAGGTAATATGAATTGCCATTATTCTTTTTTACAATGTGTGTGTCATTTTATCAGCTCACACTGTGACAAAGGTGTTAATGTTGTGGGGATCGGTGTGTTAGAGGACAGGGCTGAAACACGGCATCCTGGTTACGAAGTGAAACCACACGACACCTTGTTGAGCTTAGAGTAGTCGAGGAGGTCGGGTCTGTGTCTATGAATCAGGGCGCAGAAGGCCAGGCCATCCTTCCAGCTTCACCAGCCAATAAGCAGAGAGAACCAACATGTCAGTTCAATGAGATGAAAGTGCTGGAATCCAGTTCCAGCTTTAACCATTACTGGTGCAACAGCACTTGGTGGCAGCATTTCACTGATGCCAAACTCAAGTCGTGATATTCTGTTTTGTATAATGTCAGCTTCAAGCAGAGCTTACTACTGACATGATGCTATCAGATGAACTTATTCACTGTGCAAACACGACATTACTGTGACTTAACAGTACAGACTATAAACATCCTAGATTAGCTATAAATAACTGGAACCAACAGCTTTTGTAACTTAGTGGCCAGTGTTTAATGTGTGATACTGACCTGACATGGAAGTTTTGGACATTCACATTCCTATAGGGCGCAGTCTTTCTTTGACACCACAGGAGGAGACCTTCCTTGGCAGATGTTTCTGATGAGAAATACGATTGATATAACATGTGGTCAGTGCTTTTGGTTGTATCATAAAAAGCTGCATTTGTGCAAGTGAACAAAGACTCCTTTTTGTAATAAAACTTGAATTTATAGGCGTCCATATGTTTCGATACTCTCTGGACACAATGTGTATAGGAATCTAAATAGTAGATCAAATGTTTTTTGTATTTATTTATTATCTCACCTTCCACAGATATGTCCTGAATGGCAAAGCGGAGGATGATAGTCCAAATCATTCCAAGGGTCATCTTTACATTCCCATCCACAATCTCTGCAATAGAGGAAAAAAAGGTGACAATTTGCTGCAGCAGATGTGACAGAATATAAACTTGAAGATCACATACATTATGATATATGTGTGTGGGTCTCTTTGGGATATATGACGGCCTATAGTATGTTCATATATACAGGAAGTGTTACCAGGTACCTTCAGCCCCAATGGACACCAGTTTCACTCCTTTACTTGTGATGAATTCCAACGCTTTGTTGACGTTAGCGATCTTGTGAAACCGCATCTTCCCTCTGTCTGGCTTGGGTAACCTCTCTCCTGCAAACGGAATATTAAGTGACAGGGTCAGTTTTGCATATAAGCCAAGATAATATCACAGGAAATCACCGAAACAAGAAAATGTGGAGTTATTAAGGAAGTTTCCTCCTTTCCAACCTGAGATAACTTCCAGCAGCAGCATGAGTTTTAGTCCATTCCTGAAGTCCTCTTCAATGTTTTCAATCTGAGTACCAGCTTTCCTCAAGTGGGAGTTACACCAGGCTGTGAAGGTCTAACGGGAAAGGTCAAGTTAAACGGGATTTGGTAAAATGTCATCGTACAAATTCACAGTATTCAGGGCAGGAAAACTAAAGTTATTTCTTCACTTCCTGGGAAGCTCAGCAAAAAAGACAGGAGCCATAAATCAAAACACTGTATATTAAACCACATTTCACTTATAAGCTCTTTTACATTATATGGAATCTACTATAAGCATGAGATTCCTCTCTTGAGGGAACCTAAACAGAGACATCTCACGATGCCTTCACTACTATATCAAATGGCTTTGACCAGCATTTTGAGGCTAACCTTCAGTGAACAATTAGTGCCCAGTTTCCCCTGTTTCTCCTAGAGTTCAATAGCTAAAGCCCATCAGAACAAATGCACTCCATGTGGGGCACTGAAATACTGTAAATCAAGTTAAGACACGATCATTGTCTTTCTCCTATTTTTATAAACTGTCTCAATAGCCAGCAGCAGAGTTCACGGGCGCTCAGCACTGTACGGATGAAAGCCAGGAGCCGACCACAGAGCACATTCCAACCGATATAAGGTGTTAAATTTAGCCTGCTCTGCTGTGGCTCACGATAAGAGGACCGGCAGGAAAAACGTCAAAACGTCTCGCCATGTCAACATGAGTGAAAATGGCACGTGGACGAAGAACAAGTTCTCCTCCCCCCTCGACCCACACGTCACTTTCTGTCACTATTTTGCCACTTATAAAATGACATGGTGATATGTTAGAGCTCCGTGGCGATAGCTCTATCACAGTTGCATGTACGCTGCTCTTCCAGGTCACAATCGTTACTATACTGAGGCGTGAAGACAGGCAGGAATGGATCATGAATTACAGCATCTAAAACTCTCGTGTAAAATCATGTGAAATTAAGTTTTGATGTCCATAGGTGATTAACTTAACGAGCTGAGCAACAGATGCTAAAGCCGCACAATGGTCTGTAACGTAAGCCAAGTGGATGACACACTTCCTGATGACATTTACCTCTTTAACCTTCCACCTTCACCAACAATAAATAGGAGTCCTTGTACTGTACTTTCTAAGGCCAGTAGAAAAAGTGTGACGCTTACTGTATGGTTTAGAATAGAAGAATACACTGAATTTTTTTGCATTTTCAGCACATAATAGATGAAAAGTGAGTAATAAATTCTTGTCCCTTTAGAACGTAGCAGGAAAAGATCTAATACAGGGTGTTGCATTTATGTAAAAAGAAGCACAGAAGAAGATTTTGAATGAGCTCCTTTTAACTTTTACATGAGTGTTATTGCTACACCTGAAGTTTTATCTGTGAATGCCTGACTTCAGCAAAGCGACATCACTTAAGGACGATATTTTAGCACCTTTTTGTGACCCTGATTCTCGCACTTGAATGCATGAGAGTGCCAACTGCCCTGCCAGTCACTCAGCCTTCCCCCCTGAGCGCTGGTGCAAAAACAGAATATTACAGGCTTTAGAGTAAAGGCCGTCACATTCCACACTGAGTGAGTCCCCGGGGTGAGTGTGACATTGAACTGTTGCCCTCCTTGTTAAAAAACGTGGCCCGCCGGTCCTCCAAATTTGACTCCCGTCACAGTCTCGCAGAACCCTCACTTTCCAGGCAGCCCCCCGCCCTCTCCGACACTACTGCCCAGTGACGATTAAAGCTAAAAATATTTATGAATCACATCCAGAGAGGACCAACCCTGTCACTGAACTGACTGATGCCTTTGGGGCCTTACTAGGTCAGAGCCTGGCAGGCTGTATCCAGGAGGATGGAAAATAAATGTGAACTGGGATGTCTGACATGTTGGAAAGACCGAGGGGATCACGGAGTTTTCACAAACGTCTCTCAGTGTGACTTAATCACATACTCATTACTTGACCACAACATCACTGCACTTTGACTGAATGAAAGGCAGCACCCTGGCAGCACAGCCTTGGCTCTGTCTTTGCAACATGAATGGGTACCGAAGGCTTCATCAATCTCCTTGATAAACCTGTCCGAGTCAAGTAATAGATTCAAAAAGGTTCCATATAAGCACTGCGGCATTAATATCCACTAGAGAAGATGTACCACAGCTGTTAGCAGGATTTAAAATGAACCCCTTGCACCATGACATGATAAGAGAGGAATTAATTGGAAAGGGTTGCAAAAAGTAGCCTCGAATACAGCAAACAAAAGCCACTATGAGGGTCACTTTAGCTCTGCATTCGTGCAACCTTTGGTGATGCTGTGATTCTGATCAGTCTGAACAGCTGCTCACAGAGCCACATCACTCTCCAATGAGCACTTGTCAACTCCAAATTATGATCAGTAAAAAGACAAACACTGGAAAGATAGCTGCGCACATGGACTGGAGAGCTGCCTATCATGTTGCTGCATTGTGTTACCAAAAATACGGTTTTGTCATCCCTGTGGGGGACCACAGGAGGTTATGGGGGGCACGGAGCTGATGGCCTCCAGTTGTGTGAAGAGCTACAGTTTAAGGGCCAAGCCAACTTTTAAAGCCCTAAAACCAACTGAGAGTGTGCGAGGCCGAGGCTATATTGAGTTGAGCTGGTGCTGGTACAATATTTCTGGGTGGTTTCTATAAACAAAAGAATTCCGCACCAAGGACACTGGATTAACCCTACTATAATGCCTTTTGGTCCCGAGGTTAAAATTAGATGTAGCGTCCATTCTAATCCCAAGAGCGTCATCATGTGTTAGAAGCATCTGTTGACAGCTCGCATTCCGCGCGTATCAGCGGAGAGGCAGCAGACTGGAGAGCCGCTGGAAGGCAGAGCTATTGTTAGCTGGTACCCACCGCATCCGTCCGTCAAGCCTCCCTCCCTGGACCCGGACCGGAGTCAAGTCCCCGGCACTTAACTAGGACCTCACTGGAGGTTAGAGGATGCTGTCCTCCCAAATAAAACCACTCGCTAAGTATGCTAAGTATAGAATTAATAAAATAGGTTAAAAAAAATAATAAATAATAAAAAATAATAATAATACAAAGTAGTACATATAAAGCAAAATAATATAGAATAAATTCAAAAATAATGTAGGATAAATATAAACAAAAGCAAAAAAAAAATACACATAAAATTACAAAAAAAAACAATAATATAAGAATAAAAATAATATGGAATAAATAACAAAATATTACACATTAATTTTAATTTAAAAAAAACACAAAAATACATTTAAAAAAATAAACAAACACAAAAAAATATTGTGCATAAAATGAAAAATATAAACAAGGCTTGATTATGGTAATCCTTTGTTTTGTTTTAGTTTTTTTTGTTGGAGTATCATGACTTTTTCATCTTTTTCAGTTTTTCTATTTCTAGCCAGGTAAAGCTGTATTTTCTATTCTTTTCAATTAAATTTCAGAAACCAATTTAAAGCTTCTTTTTTTTTTTGCTATAAGCTAAGCTATCCCTGTCAAGGAAAGTGGCTAGCTTATTGTGGGTTATTAACCAGTTTTGTGTTTGGCATTTTTGTGTTATGGTACACGTACAAATAGATAATTATAGAAGACGAAAAAATGTTTCTGAGAGAGATTTCATTAAAAGAAAATTAACCAATTTTATTAATTTTCCTCGTTTAATTCGTTCAACGCTCCTCTCCAACAGGTGTTTTATTTTGAAGACGTTAGCCGACCGTTTAGCTAGCTGCTACGTCCAGCTTCACAGTCGTCCCCAGAGTACATTCCGATATTGTTGAAGCATGTTTTAAGTTTTACGGCTTAAAAAAATCACAAACTTTCTCAAATTTAACTTCGAATATAACTCAGCGACGACGCGGGTGTTCTGCTGTTTTGTTTCCATCATGCGCTAAAGGTAGCTACCCAGCATCCATTTTAATATTTCAGAACAAAGGTGAGTTTCTTTATTTTTTCCGACATACTTTCCTCTGCTGTTGTTCCCACGCAGGGTCCAGCAGCATGTCCCTGTCCCACTCATCCTCCTGCATCATGTACTGCTCCTCGTAGCCGTTGTCGTAGCGCACCGTGGTCTCCACCTGGGTCATCATCATCGTGCCGTTACTTTCAGCTCCCTGAAAAACTCGAGTTATCCTTGGGGCCGTTGGTAATTAAGTGTAAAGCTGAGGACGGGGTAGTTCCCTGACTACTGCTGCTGCTGCTGCTTCTCTGTCACTTCTCTCTTGCCCTTGTCCTCCCGACCTGACAGACGTCTGGCCCTGGTTGCCACAGATGAACAAACGACGGTATCATTAGTACTGGACGGTCACGTGACGCCTCCATACCTTCCCCCCCTCCTCCTCCTCCTCCTCCTCCATCACACCCACCCACTCACAAAAAACACAGCAGGACAGTTTATTATCTTCAGAACAATAAAACAATCTTTATTATTACAAAAAAAAGAGGAACTTTCATTTAGGACACAACATTGGCTTGGGGGGGAATATAAATAAAATGCTTCTTCCTTGAAAAAAACCCCCACATATTCTAAACACTGAAAGCAAACCCACCAGCATCCACCACTGAATCTGTTGAGGCAAAATGTAGTGCGTGTATTGATTAATGTTCTACGGCTCCTTTCTTGCTCTTAGGCCAGGTAATTCTCTAACACAGGTAAACTAAATTCTGATATCTGCATCTGTGCCCACATAAGAGTGTAACCAATCAAACGAGTGGAAATCGCTACAGAAGATCAACAAGTGTCGTAATGTACAGCGCAGATGTAGCCTAAGCATGCATCCTAAATCGCTTCTGATTAGTTACAGCAAATAAAGTGTTTACCACAACAGACTGTGGTCAGACTTTCCCATTCTTTAGAGTCTGACCATTTCTTTTTTGTTTTTTAACATCCTGTGAGTCCTTTCATTCCTGCCACGTTGCGCTATCTTTGCTTTTTTATTCTCAGTGGTTGGAAGCAGAAATCGCTGCCACGTGTAAAAAATAAGGAAAATTCAGCAATCCCACAACGTGCCAGTTCTTTGTAAAGTCATACGCCAGAGGAAAGTCCAACAGAACAATGAGGTGTTTTCAGAAACAAAACTGAACTCTTTCGAAGGTGGTGCGTGTAGTTTCACAAAGAAAAACATTTACAGCTGTGGTTTACAATATTAAAAAGATCCTCTCCTTTTCTCACAAACTGTAAGGCCCAAGTGCTCAGTTAATACAATGAATACAACAAATCACACAGGCCGACTAAAAGATGTGAAATGTCCCTTTAAGGTTCAAACTGAAAAGAAGGAAGCTGGTCCCTACAGTCACTGCTGAAGGATGACCTCACCACAGAGCTTGAGTTCATTCGGAGTGCATAGACAGACACGTGGTAGCGAAAGGGACTCGAGAGAGTGTTTGAAAACTATCCAGCAACCTTAAGGACATGTCATCTGTCACAGTGGCGGTAATGCTGTCCACGGGCTCGACATTAAATCAATCTCTCGGATTCTGGAGTGTTTGTAAAACGGATCATCGTCAAAACGTGTGTCATCTGTGATCTGCAGTAGTGTTCTTTGGTCCTCGGTGGTTCACAAGGAAGGGGACGCGGAGGGGGCAGGGAGCTAATAAGGAGGCTGTCTTTTTTCATCATTCAGCTTCACTTAAGCCACAAGGTCGCCGCCACTCCTGGCCTCGTTCATGGATCCACTTATTTGATACTAAAAAAGCAGACAGATAAAAAGATTAAAGTCAGAAGCCTAATCCAGTTCTTTGATTACTTCAGTGCAAATGTTTGCCCTTGGTGTCGGATAGAGTCAAGACAGGGCCTGACATTTGTTTATGACACTGGGTTAAATCGCTCTTAAAATGGACATTCTCTTGAGTAAATATTTTGCTCTGATAAGATATTTACTCAGGCCTTTCTAGATGGTTTTATAGGGAAACTAGTCTCGCACAGGAAAGCCTAATTCCACAGTGCTGGAGAATAGTCTGACTGCTCCTCGTCATCATTCTGTGTTTTAAACCAGTCCCAGTCGTCTTGTGCCACATCCAGGATCTCTGCCAAATCGTGATAGTGGGAATTGTTTACATGAAGGGAAGGGAGCACTGTCAATAAAATGATGATTCAACAACAAAAAAAAAAGTAAAGCTGCCTTGTTGCACAGTTCAACACATCTGCTAAACTTCCTGTTTTCAGCGTGGAGGCTGCTGCTACAAGGTTCTTCTAGCAAAGGGGGATTTGAAAATGGTGACACAAACAGACAGCTGAACTGGAGAAGAAAGCTGTGTGAACTGCAGGTTTACATCTGGTCAGTGAGCCTAGAGGGAACCAAACGAAGAGGAACTCACCCCACTTGTTGCCCACCAGCACTGGACAGGCTGCATGTCGGGTACTGTAGTCTCCCTCCCCACTGGCAAACAGGTTGTACCAGAACACTGCTGAACCCTGGAACACACACGAGCAGACGACAGATGTTAGCCGCTCTGCACAACAACATGAACCTCAGAAAGCCAGCATTATTCTCCTTAATGAGTTTGCAGAGATTCCTGGAAAGTAAAATTATATTAGGCCAGTTAAACTTCAATACATGCGTGTGGATTTGATAAATTGTGGTTGTTAACGAATGCTAAGGAGTGTGAGGGGACTTTTTTCAATGACGGCAATGAACAAATAGGCATGTAATTATGCTTCATGATGCTATTTTGCATTTAAATGATCCCCTATTAGAGAATTATAATGTGCATATGAGAGAGCTCGTGTGAATAAATTGACCTTTATTGCTAATGTGTGCTTCGTTTCACCATGTTTAGTTGGCTAAAGAATATAAAGAGTTCAAACACAGCTTCTGGATCAGTAATCATGGATGTTAATAAGAGGTGTAGTATGAACGGTTACCTTTTGAGGCCAAACTGCAGCGCCAACATCTGGAAATACTGTGGCTCCACCTGCTGACACATTGCTCATCTACAACGAAAGGCAAAATCTAGCGTTTACCTGTTTATCTGCATCAAATAGTTCTGTGGTCATATTGAATCACTGCTCAAATGTCAGGAATCACACAGCTTTGTGACATTTATAGAGGCGGACTGAAAAGCTTCAGGTTTAGTCTGGCTTTTAATCGATTTTGGTTTATTTATAAAGTGCAGTCAGAGTTATTGTTTCTGTAACATTATACTCTTCTATTTTGGTCTTATTTTGCTATTTTCCACGTATCCTGCCTCTGATGTTTCGTCATTGAACTGGGATGTATTTTTATAGTTTCCTCAGTTTCTCAGTCCCTGTTTTAACCTCGTCCTGTATTTAGAATTATTGCTCTGAGCACTTTTTTTTTTTTTTTAATGTGCCGAGAACCTTACATTTAAATTGCTGTATTAACAACCCCTGAATTTACTGTCTCTGGTTGATATTGCAGCAGCAGTTGCACATATTTAACATTTATTTTTTATTTATTTATAATTGATTTAAGTTTGGGGGAGACACTGTTGTCTGCTGGGTTTTGATCTATTTGATAGTCACACTGGCTCAAATAAATTGGAGAACAGTTTCTCTGAATCCTTCTTCAATTCAGTAAATGCTATGTCATCCTGCTATGTCCCCCGGTTGCATCAGCACAGTAGGTCCGGCTCTAACTTAGTTTCTACTGTTGTAAAGAGCAAAGTCACTGGCAGTGGCTAAGCCCATAATCACAGATGACTGATAGTCCTTGATGTATAATTCCAGGGTGTCACCCTGAACAAAACCAAAGAAAAAAATGTACACTCTGAGATTTGAGTGGTTTTAGTGTGAGACTGCTCAGTTTATATGCAGCTCGTCTACCTACAGGAATTCTACTCAGGGCTCTGTGGGGTGAAACAGTTCATTCATAAGGCCCCATTTTAGTAGACAAATTTAATTAAAACCTAATGAGATTCCTTTAGCAAGGTCATTTCATAAAATAAATAATCACATCCAAGACCCCACTGCTTCATATCAGTGTTTGCTTTCAGATTGATAATGGCTTTACCTTTTCTAATGTATGCAGTGTTTGTCCTGTACTGTTTAAAATGTACATACATGTAAATGATAGCTGTATTTTATGGTTAATAAATTAGATTCAGGACCAGAATAAGCACTTAGAGTAAAGGTCAAGTCTTTTTTCTTTTTTTCATAACAATACAGACAACTTTTGACCCATGGATCCCTATCCTTGATATGTTTTTCTGGACAAAAATAAAACAATTCATTTTATATTTCATTCAAATACTTCATTAAAGCTGAAGGAGAAATATTTAAATATTTAAAAGCCATGCTGCCATGTTTTTATGGTAGTATGTTACTTATTTTCTATACATAATACACAATGCGATATTCGGTATCTTTGAAAGATTGGGATCTTGACTAAAACTTGAAAATAATAAGTTTGAACAATGATTTTTTTACACAATATGTATTTATTAAGACTGTCCCTCCAGTAAATTGGTGAATGTAAGGTTGATGTAAAGTTAACAACACTGGTATTTAGTTGAGTTTACTTACATAGAAGAGCCATGTTGCTATGCGGTTCCCAGTGCCCAGCTCTTTAAAGGCATCTGGCTCATCTTTCTGTACAGAGACAACAAACACCAGCTCTCATGTCCTGTTATATTAACACCATTGTACATGTAAAGAACTTAACTTAGGTGCATTACAAAGAACCTACCCTTCCAAAGTCAAAGTGAGGTTCGTATTGACCTCCAACACCATAATTTGCAACCTAGAGACAAATAAAATACAATATAAGTCTTGCACATATATAAATCAGAAGCCAACAGACACACAAACAGGGGCTTCTTTAAGGGCAGGGGGGTTGACAGATGTTATTTTTCCCATGAGTACAATCCTAAAATAACTCTTTACCTGCAACTCTTCTGCAGTGTCCATTTCCAGGCCTGTAAGATCTTCAATCCTCTGGTTGATCTTGTCAATCATTGGATCCTCATAGCCAGTGAGCCAAGCACTGGAATACAGGAGGGAGAGCAGAGCGATTGAGAAAGAAGAGACACGTGCTGTGTTGTATTTCAGTGAGACACACGTTTGTCCACTAGATGGTAGTAAAGATGTTTTCTGGAAAGGCGGCTGATGGTAATGTCATGCTGGACACATGCCATGGAAAGCTCAAATGCAAAATGAAGTTGCGCATTACAAATCAGATGAAAGAAAAGGGAAGTGGAGGTGTGAAAAAAATGGAAAAACAGGAAACGGCCCAAGATTTAGAATCTCCAATCAGCTCAGGGTTCAAGGTTGTGGACATTTCAGGGGTTTTGGTGGAGAAGTATGGCAAAATATTTTCATGGATTTAACTTTCCTGACACAACCCGCCTTTCACTCTCACACCCTGGTCTAAGAGAAGGCCTTTGATTAAAAAGGCTCTTCATTTAATACTTCAGAAAATGCTTTCTGGTGAACTATTAAAACATAACAAAACTCAAGTTCTGCAGACCACATTATAAAGTTTAGATTGTTGTTTTGTTTTTGGCTAAAGCACTAAAGAGCCACAGTATCCACATGAAAAACTTTTCAAGTAATTAAAATAAAGTTGCAATTATATGGACCAAAGACAGAATCAATTCAAACACACTGTCAGATTTGGGGGAATTTTTTTTTAAAGACACGACCAAGAGATGACTCCCACCCCCCACTGGCCTCGTGGAGGAATCCAGAGAGACCAGAGGATGAGTCATCTTTTTTAATTCAAACTTGTGTTGATAATAAGTAATATTTTTGAAGGGATACTGGACCAAATGTGAGTCGATAAATTCTTTCCTAAAGTGACTTGCAGCCAGTTCAGAAAGAGGTCAAGCAGTTCTGAGCTCTTCCATCTGTCTGCCCACTGTCGCCAAGTGCTTGCTCGAAGGGAAATATTGGATCTGTTGGGAGTTTGTGTGTAATTTTGTAGGTTCTTAACCTTTTTTTTTACATTTGATTTAGTCAGGAAATTGATATGGTACAAAATATTTCTGGTTCAAGTCGGTCAAGTACATCTGTGTAATCCATAATGTTGTATATGTAATATTTAGGTACATAACTTTAATCTGATTTCTCTACTGGAAAGCTCTTTGGGTCAACACCGTTGTTTTCAATGTGCATACATAACGGTGACTTGACTAAATTTGGAAAGGCATGATGGCTAGCACATACACATACAAAAACATCAAAGGAACACCACACCCTTACACCCACATCCCCACACACACGCACACACACACACACACATTAATTACCAACAACAGTAAACCCAAAGAAACTTGAATACTTTGGTGGCCTGCTATTTATAGAGTGGGATTCAAACTCAACAAACAGTGAGCGATGCAACTATTAAAGCTAAACAGTCATTTAACTACAAAGGGAAACTTGCCATACTGTAGTTTATATCTGATCTGTGTGCATCCAGACTCGGGTCTTGTTAAGTTTCTTAACCTCTTGTGCTGATGTGGAAGTTGCAAAAGCATAGCAGAGCTCATATTAGAACGTCATGAAAAAAAAAAAAAAAAACATTCCCGGAAAGCACAATGGGGAATAGAAATTCAGTTCTCGGGATCTCAAATAGCCTGGGAGAGGTTACTATGGGGGGAAAAAACAACTGTGAAGTTCCACAAAAATGTCTCAGTCACTTGGTAAAATGAAGGATTTTAGTGCGATCAAAAACCAACAAGAGAGGTTTGTTTAGTTTGGGTTAAACTAGCTCAATGTGGTGAAAAATGTTGTTTATCCCAAATGAAAACCTCCTCTATTGTTAGTTTTTTAAAATTGTTCACATTTTACTCTTTGCCCAGCGCAGGGCCAAATAAGTGCTTCAGCCACTTCACAGAGATAAAGATGAAGCTGGATGACGAGGAGGAGGAGGGGAAGGCACTTAGGCCCTCCTGGTGACCTGTGACCCCTTACCTCTTGGAGACTCTGTAATGGGCTGTGGTAAGTTTCCCAGTTTGGGGGTCATGCACCGTGGCTCGCCTTAACTACAGTAGTTCCCGCAGCACAAGGACACGGAGGTGGAGAAAAAGAAGATGGGGGGGAAAAAAAAGAAGGAATGGAACGTAATAGACACAGGAGGACGGGTGGGAAGTAGGAGGAGGAGGGAAGAGGGAGAGAAAAGAAAGGCAGATCCGGTCACTAGTCGTCAATGTTACTCTTAAGAAGGACCAGAGTGTTCCATGAGGCAACGCTTGGATCCAAATGCCCAATAAAAATGATCAAATTTGCCAGTCAATTAAAGGCTGCCTCTGACACGCCACCTGGCCCGCAAAAGCAGCTATGTTAAGATCAACTAGCAGAAGAAGTAACACACTTTTCCCCTCCTCTGTCTTCTTGTGTTACCTTTCTGTAGCAGACTCCTGAGCAGAAACACATCCATGACAGATCATCAAGAAACAAATACTTCAAACAATTTTTGTTCCAAAGAAAGCAAATCTCCACTAGACTTATTAATGAATCTTCTAATTTGTTTTTTCTTTCAAGTCTGTCTCATCTGGGAAAGCATGAGAGAACACATTTCTATAGAAGTTGCCTAATAAATCAACAATAGTTTACAGATGTTTCTATATGCTGTATCAGGCTTTGATCATTCTCAGCTGGATCCTGTGCTTCAGCTCAAGAGACTTTTAAGCTTTGGAGGGGCGGAGAAACGGCGCTATGGACAGACAGGAGTACAGAGGAGAAATGGGATGAGTTACTGAGGTGAAAAGGAGAAGAAAATCCCACTTTCTCCCTCTCAGCTCTCTCCCACATACTCTGTCACTGGCAGCTTCTGGCTCTGTCTTACCTTTTGCTGATCCTGTAAGGAGCTGTCTCCAGTACTCCTGTGACGGGGTTGGAGATGGTTGCCCTGCGTAGCTGTGAAGCCAGGGACATGATTTACCCACACACAGATGCACACGTGCATGCAGATGTGCATGCCTGCGTGCTTCACACCAACCAGCCTCACAGCTTTGACCTCCCACCCCTCAACACACTGAACCACCTGCTAGATCATAATCTGGTAAATATGCACATATACTCAAATTTGCTTACTCGTGGTTTTGCCAATTGCTTGATTCTATCCATTTCTGCGTCGGAGATGATGTCGATGTAGCGAACAATGTAGGGGCGGTCCCACTCATCTTGCTGTTTGACAGGTCTCAGCACATACTGGGGGTTATGATTGTTGTCATAGTACCGACAGAACAGCCGGCTCTGCCTACGGGGAGTCTGGGAGAAAATAAATGCAGGTAACAAGGAGTTAAAACTGAGATTGTAAGTTAGAAATCGTGTTATTGCACAGCTCCTCTTCTTCCTCACCATTCGGATTCCCTCGCCACGACACAGCATCTCATACTTCTTCCTTTCTGGGATGAGAGAAAAAGTCTTTGGGGAACTCCTCTTCTGCCTCTTCTTCTTCTCAGTTGTTTCCGTTTTCCCTTGCTCCTTCTCTTTTTCAGTTGTTGCATCGGCAGCCTTTTTCTGCTTCTCCAACTGGAACTCAAAGTACTTCAGGTTGCCCTTGGCGCGCTGGTGCTCGGGGTCTGAAAATGAGAGACCAAACAGAAATAATAGAGGTGATTACAAATAGTGATGACTGCAGCAATGTCGCCTCAAACTGTCATGCCGGCTGCAATCAAAATAACTGAGTTTGCAGCGTGACATAATTATATGCTATTTATTCAGTCTGACCTCATCCAGCTCTCAGAAATAGGACATACAAACAGGACACATTAATTCAGGGGCTGTTTTGGAGGAAATGCCAGATAACAAGGTCACTATCAAGGCTCCTTCAGAGGGTTTCTACAAATGACCATGTTTTAAAGGAAAGGTAATACCACTAAATGTGCTGCAGTGTCCTTTATCTAGACTGTATTAGCAATCAATAGCAAGTATAACAAAGCTGAAATGTCATTTTAAATGATACTGCTCTAACCAGACTGAATTTCAGTACATTAATTAGTTGCCAGAGTGTCTGTATCAGAAGGTTTCCATACAATCTAGAGCTGACTAGACAGAAGTCATTGTGATTCCAGAAAGAGTAATAGTTATGATCAGACACCTTCAACTAACATTCAGGTAATCTGAAACGTAATCTCACCTGCCGACTCCCACAAAATCGTGAAAAAAAATAAAGTGCAGTCACGTCACTCCTTTTTGAGACAATAAAATACTACAGTGATTTAATTGGCTGTAGTTTAAGGAGTTGTACAATTATCCACAGAAAAGGGATAAAACACAAACCATATCCATTCAATTACCAATAAATTAATGATTATTGTGAACTTAATAATTACTGTTAAATCACTGTAAAGCAGACAGATGGCAAAGAAGCCTCTACAATCATCAATAATCATTGTTAAAAAAAAGGCTGTAATAAACTTCTCTGAATGGTGCTATACAAATGACTGAATTGTACTGTTGGTGTATATTTGGTATTAATTGGAATTTAATCAGCCCAATAACTAAATATAACTTGTAAAAACAGCATATTGTTTTTAGATGAAACTGCACAGACTCGTAAAGAAATGGCTAACAGGTCTGGAGTGTGTCTGTCTGCGTGGCTTGGACATGCTGACTCAGCTCTTAGCTATCAGTTTAGCCCTCTCTGCTTCATTTATCAAATTTCCAGTGTATATTCTAACAATTTAGATAACCATGATGTGCTCTTTTTTCTTAGGAAAGTCTTTCGTTGTTTAGCAAAATTAAGGCAATTTCCACATGTTTACTGGCTTATCTAATCAGACAAAACACAGTCCATCTGTGTAAGTCTGGACAAGACTCCTTATCTAACTGATGTTTACATGACATTATCTTACATGTTAGAATCCAAAGTGAGAAGAAAATCATGGCTCTCAGGATTCTTTTCATTTCTGGAGAAGTATTTTAAGGACTCACCCAGTTCAAGCAACCTCTTGGTGTACTCCAGCGCACGTTCGATCTCTCCCTGCTGGTAGATGGCGTAGCTGAGGTAGTCGAGCACCGTCGCCTTATCTAAAGTGGACTCCTCTCCCTCATCAAGCTGTTTCAGGGCCTGGGCCATCCACAGCTCCGTGTGGTAGTAATCGACATCAGAGTAGGCGATTTTGCCCAGCTCGTAGCAGTCCTCCACTGTCATATGGCTCTTGTGTTTCACTCCTTGTAACAGAAAATAGGAGAGGAAGGGAAATCAGCACCAGCTTCACAGCAAATAACACAGAAACCAAGAAAAACCTACTATCGCCACATGGCCTTGCTGATTAACCGTGACTTTCATGGTATTAGTCTGGTAATGTGAGGTTTTTTTTAATACTTCCTGAAAACATTAGCCTGTGGAGATGCAAACCGTGTGCCAGATACATGTGATATGCGCTGATTAAAGGACTGTACCAGGTAGGTTTCCTGTAGAGATGGTGTTGGCATCCAGTCTGTACGTGTCTTGTAACCGGAGGAGAGCTTTAGCTGCCCCGGTCTGGTCCTCGTCTGTGGGGAAGTACTGTCTCTGGATTGTCAGGTTGGAAATAAATCCTGAGAAATGTGGACAGGAAAGGACAGACGAAGGTATAGTATTCTGTATGGGATACACAGCAACCTCTGAAATGGACGACAAATACTCTCTTTAAAGTTCAATGAGACTGCTTGATGTGACTGAGTGTGCAATATGTAGCTGTATTTAGCCAGACGTGGTAAAAATTAATGAGATAAGCAATGTTCTCTTCTACCTCGATGATTCATTTTTGAGCGAGGCAACTTGTTATGAAAATGTATTAAATATGAATGTACAGCACAACATAGCTGTAAACAAGCAAACGCAGCTCTCCCCTTTCAGAAGTCCTTGGCTTTATCTCTCTGCTTTGCTCTAAAGGCACACAAACAAAAACACAAGCCAACACTCCGGAGACAGTCTGCTGCACTAAGGTTAGTTTCAAACTCAGCCACAACAAGTTTAAAGGCAGTCCTGGACGAGCCCATCGTCAAATATTATTAAGAATCACTCCCTGAAATTCAGGTCAAAATGTAGGCTCATTGCAAAAACATGTGCAAAGTGTATTAAAATATTTCCTGTGTTTCAAAACTTCTGGCATCTAATGTCGAATGTGGAAAACCCCACTCATAAAAGAGTTCTCATGGAATTACTGCAAAGTCATTATTAGACTCAGGTCTTCTTTCTCCTTACCATCAGTGGTGTCACTAAGTACAAGGCTCTCCAGGTTGCCCCACTCTGTGTTCAGCCTCTTCATCAGTTTGAAGGCATTCACTGGGTGGCCCAGGAAGCCTTCAGGGTCCTGTGTGGCTGTGGCTGTCAATGAATCCAATTTGTC